CCTTTAAAACGTTTAGCACGTCAACGGTGGTAGTTTGACTTTTGCTGCACACTGTCTGTCCGGCAGCTAGCCATCAGTCAAACAGTGGGTGACGTATTGTCCATTCAACACATCTGTGTGGTCAATAGTTTTTGGAGCATTCATTATTTATAAAAACAAACATAAAAATAATGGCAATGACATCCAAGTGATCGATGGAAACAATGATTAATCGTGGGAGACGTGAATGAATGATCGACAAGTAGCAAAGGCTATTTACTCAACTCGCTTCCAATGCGAATGAAAAGTTCAATAGACTCGTGTGTAATAGCTTTTCTGGGTTTTACATTTAAATGCTGAATGTGAATATGAACAGGCCATGGCCACAAACAATTAGCAGAGGTCGTCATAGATGAAGCCATCTTGGAAAGACAAGCCTTAAATAAAGTCTGGAGGGTCTGTACCAAATAGTGGGTCTAAATTGACCATAAGCCTGCCAACGGAGAGCCCAATATGGATAATTTTCACAATTGTTTACAAATGGAAATTAGGATCGTAACCCCAAATACCGAATATTTTCTCCGCAAGAATAAAAAAACTCTCCCAAATCGCTCTTTTTTACTGGACTTTTAAGTTATTAAGAACATACAGTGGTCGAATTAAAATCAGTGTTGCCGAAAGTAGGTATTTATGCCCAAAGTGGACTTCCGCAATTTTTTTGTTTTCGACATAATGATAGGTTTTTAAATTTTTATATGCCTCTGCCATGTAAAGTAGTGTAAGCAAAATGCTTCATTGCCTTTGTAACACCCCTGTAGTTTAACAATCTACCACCTTATTGTACCATGGATATAACGAAATGTTTCGATATTCGATTTATAGATAATTTTTGCCACATTTTGAAACATGCAATAGATTACAGAAATTTGCCTATGTATGTCTATTCGCATTTTGGTATTGCGCTCATATATTGGTACCGCCCACTTTATTATATTCAAAAGACTGCACTTGTTTTTCGAAGAAGTCAACCAGGCTTCAGCCAATAAAAAAATTTGTTCTATGTGTTCCTATCTTTATTATTGTTTTTTAGAATGGAACAATAATTTCCAAGGTGGACCATTGATGGTCCACCAATCCACCTGAATACATTTTTTCTTTTGATAGTTATGTAATCATGGTACAATGAAGGTATGATAGGTTGCAAAATTTAGCAAGTAAAGAGACCTACCTGAGAATTACTATCAAAGCCAATGCAACAAGTTGTATTGTATCAAATAAGCAAATCGACTTGTTGCATTGATTTTGAGTAAATAAACAAAAAAACGGGAAAATTTAATGAAATGTCAATTTTTTTTTTCAAAATCATGTTCTATATTTCACTAAAGATTTATTTCGCTACAAAAAGTGTAAATTGTGTCCATAAATACGTTGGAATGTGCATTTTAATTCCAACTGAATTTGAATATTTTCTCAACAATTTTCATACAATTGAAAAGAACACACACATGCACAAAATTAAGCCAGGCAAATGAAAAAAATTAAAATCGATTGGTAGCAGTGTCCTACCTTGATTTCATTGTACCATGCTTGTAATGTCAAAGCATATACACAGTTTTAAAGGACGTTTAAATATAAATGGGTTAACCCACAGGGTTTGAATTAAAATTGTCATATCCAATATTTATACTTCAAATACAGGTAGATGCATCAACGCTTGGAAGCATTGATATGTCAAAAAAATTAAATGTTTCTTCAAATATAAATAGCTTTTTACAAATTTAAACAATTTTTCATTCAACATTTTCAATTCCAAAATTGGTTTGACAGTTCATTGTCCCACCAGCTGTGTCGACGCGTACATTCTTCTACCATGGTATATACAATAGAATTGACATTTAAAACCTACGGGGTTTTCGAAATCCTGTACAACGAAAACGTACTATTAGCTTGGTAGAATAAACAAGTAAAAAAAAACATTAAGTTCGGCCGGGCCAAACTTTTAATACCCTTCACCTTAGGGTAAAGGAAACATTAGAAGAAATGTGACAAAAACCATTAAAATGCCGAATATCGGGAGGTACCGTTATATGGGGGCTATACCAAATCGTGGACCTACACATGCAATGTTTTCCCAAAGGAGCTAGAACCCATTATAAGCTACAAATACCAAATTTTAGACAAATCAGTGAAAAAATGTGGCAAAAACTATCAAAATACCGAATATTGGGAGGTACCATTATATGGGACTATATCAAAACGTGGACCTATACATACGATGTGACCCACAAATACCAATTTTTAGACAAATCGGTGAAAAAATTTGGCAAAACCCATCAAAATGCAGAATATCGGGAGGTACCGTTATATGGGGGCTATACCAAATCATGGACCCATACATGCAATATTTCGCCAACGGAGCTGGAACCCATTATGACCAACAAATACCATTTTTAGACAAATCCGTGAAAAAATCTGGCAAAAAAAATTAAAATACCGAATATCGGGAGGTTGCATAAATCATCAAAATATCGAATATCGGGAGGTACCGTTATATGGAGACTATACCAGAACGTGGACCGATATCTCATTTTCAATACCAACCATCCTAGACACAATACAAATTGCTCTGCTAATTTTTTACGTGTAATAATGTGGGCTGTATCGTGATTACAACAGACAAACAGACGGACATCGTTAAATCGACTTAGAATTTTATGCTGATTATGAATATATATTTTCAATAAAGTTTAATTTCACAACATAAATTAAAAAGATAAAGAAAATGCAGAGCGGAAAATGAGGTTGCCATGATTTTATTGTACAATGGTTATTAGAAATATTTATTAGAGTGTGCGCATAGAAGAATATAACCAATTTTACAATGAAAAGGAGTAATGAAACAATCATATTTCAAAAGAAAATCTTGGTGTCATTCATTTTACGCGATTTTTACTTCATTTTATAAATGGAGGGAAACAATCAAATGAATGTGAAGTACTTGTTGCATGCCATTTTCCAATATTCTGACAGAAAGCAAGCATGGCATCAGGTATATTCTGTATTCTATTAGTATATTCGAAACAGCCTTTACTTTTTATTTTATGTGATGGTATATTACAGCATTAGCTAAAATTCGACGTACTCGGTCATGTAATACACACAAAAAGAAATAAATAATATAAAAAATTTAAATGTTTGCAATTAGAAAATGTTACAATTGGGTGAATTTAAAAAAGTATCAATTTTTACAACGTTGTCGTATTTGGGTAATACGGACGTACAAAGCATTTCACCATGGTGGGGAAGTTGAATATTTGTACAAGGTACGTCGAATTTTAAGTAACGCTGAAAATATTGAAATTATTGCCGTAAAATTTTTCTTCCATTTCCGAATTAAAAAATAATGTTTCAATCATTTGGGAAAACTTTCATTTGACAATTCCCTCCACTTTTTTCTAGAATCTTGTAAATCGATTACTCTAATTGTTATTACTTAGTTCGAAGGAATGTATTTGAGGGACAAACGATTATTATTGATAATTTTATTTTTTACGAATTTTTGCCTACAAAAAAGTGTTGCAATTAAAACGTGGACATATATAGGTACAGACGAAAAAAATGCAACAACACAGCGGTAAAATGACCCAAACGAAATACACAAAATTTTTCTAAGACGATTTCTAAGACGATTTTGTTAAATATCTTTATTTTATTATATTTTTGATAAAAGACTACATACACATACACATAGTCTTTTTTTCTGCATGATTATATGGATGGAATTAATTTAATTTTTTTTAAATAAAATATTCTTATCAGCTTGCGTAATCATTAGAAAATTTTAACATTTGCTCGTCAAGAAAATACATCTCGAACATGGAATTTTCATGAAGCCTAGTGACGAGTAAAAACTCACTCACGATATCGAACCTCTCGAAAACGCGTGCGAAAGTTAGGCATCATTAATGCGATTCTGTAACTATTTATCAAGGTAGATGTACTAGGTAATCGCATCAGCCCAGCTGACGGCACCATTAAATGTCAAAACAAATTGTTGTAATGATGAATTCGCCCTAAATGAATGCAACAACAAATTTGTTTATGTTTTCTTCCCTAAATAATTTAATAATTAATTTAAGAGCAAGTTTAGAGTGAAACCAGTAAAAAAATTAAAAGAAAATGAAAAAGTGCTCGATTTGCAATAAGAAATATTGTGATGGAAATTTAACACTATTTAGTGTCCCTAAAGACAAAGGAAGGAGGTTAGAATGGAGTGCAGCTTGAGGAATTAAGTTAGCCCCAACATCTATGATTTGTATGGACCATTTTAATCCAAAGCACATCACGGGAAGTAGTGCAAGAATTCGGCTCCAATGAATTCTATCCAATTTTTTGCGATTCTGTTCCTGGATATTATGTTGTTGGCTATTGGCCAAATTATTGAGATTTTGATATTCATATCCTGCTGTTGCTGCTATTGAATATGTGGTGAATGTATGGCCATATGCTTCGGAGTGTTGGTACCCTGATTTTGCATAGAACGATATTGGTGCTACGTTTTTTTTTTCTTTAAACCATTTTTTCTATATTTTCTATTGAATATAAATTGCGACGTTCGTTTACGACGAGAGGCACACAAAATAAAATGTAAACAAACACCTCGTTTCTGATTGGTTGAAACAAATTTGCCGCAACCTTTAAATGTCATGGCGAATCTATGTTTTTCGCCTTAGATGCCAATTTTGACATTTGAGGGGACCACAAAAGTTACTTTGTTGTAGCAATTCGCCGATGCGGTTACCTGTTAGATCTACCTTGCTATTTATCATCAATTATTGATGGATGTACAATTTTTATATCTTTATTTTCGACTTTTAACGAACATTATTAATATATCAATGATTAAAAGAAATTGCAAATTGCCATCAGTTTGGTTTAACAATATCTGGTTTTAGGAGCATCATTTTCAAATTTGGGCGAAAAGTGTACAAATAAACAAGAACGGGCAGTAGAAGAACGAATTAAAGTTTAAATAAACCTAGAAAACACTAAATAATTTATTTCATTATCGAAATAGGCCAAATTACATCAACTCGTTTACAGCTATGACACTTTTTAAAAGTGAAATACACCATAGCTTAATTCATTGGTTTTATTTGAAAATTGAAAGTCTGCGACTGGATATACGACCGTCTCGGTGTAAAGCGTTTTGAACTTCTTTAATATCTGGCAAACCACTGATATCGCCACGAGCTGCCATCGACACAGGGGAACTCAGCAGTCTCTTTGCAACCCTTTGAATGTCCGCTGCCGTTATTTTATCTAAATTCCAAATTAAAAGTGGGTGATCAGTCATACATTTAAACAATTTTTTCGCCAAACTCACCGATTTCGTTGATAAAGTGCTCTGGACGTTTTCTATGACCAGTTGCCAGAACTTGTCGACCAACGTCTTCAAATACCACTGGTCTCGATTCCAGGTTCATTAACAACATAGACTGAAGTTGAATCTTTGAGCGACTAAGTTCCTCTCTTCCTGGATTGGATGTCATGTGAACCAATTCACGTGTTACGACTTCGGTCATGTCTCTGACGTTTGTGGGCGGGGCACTTGCATGTATACAGAACAGACCGGTGTCGGCATATGCATGATTATAGGCTGTGGCGCTGTACATCCAGTGATACCTATTCAAAACGTTGGTGTATAGTCGTGAATACATGCCTTTTCCCGGTCCACCCGCAGAAAAAGAGCCTCCACCACCCATCATTATATTTAGCACACATAGGGCAACAAAATCCGGATCCTGATGAGAACAGCCCTCGAGGCCAATGACCACGTGAGCAAGTTCCGGTAAACCGGCTGCAGCATATATTGGTATCTCACACTCTTCTTTCCGCAATCCCCCCGTGTATTGAGCCACAGATTTATCCACCGCTTGAGCTCCTGTGGTTCTAATTTCCTCATTATCCCAAATAGCTGCGTTTTCAATGAAATATTGTTCTACATGACGTACCAGTTCGTCATGGTTGACCTATAGTATCAAGAAATGAAAAATCAGAGATAAATGTATTTAGCTCCGTTCGCCATGCCAGTACGAACATTAACAAAATAAAACTAGCGTTGTAAATGTGATCAATTGAATCGGTTATATTTTAGTAGAATCAATTGAATATCATCGTCTAGTTGATTGTGGAGTTTAGACTATTGATTTACAATCATTGGCTATTGAACACGCGAAAAAAGTAAAAAATTACTTCACAACTCCACAAGAATTACACAATATATACATTGGTATTATACCTAGCTGTTGCATCAGTATTACGTAACATTTACGCTAAATAAGCAGGGATAATTTTTAAATATTTATCACAGATAGGAATTTTTACCCTGATTATACATAGATATAGAACTTTAAACGTGTCTAATGTCTCAATATATTTTAGTTCGCATGATATTAATTATAGAAATCATTATGTTGAGATTTTCTCCCCTACGCGTGTTCAACTTAAAAGTCATTTTGAATATTCGGCCATCAACCGGGACATGCGAATTTTATAGCTTTTCTAAATTTGATAGTTTTAATAATTTGCTTGAGACTATCCACTTCGGTGTATGTACAACAAATCACGTCATGAAATCGAGTAACCGAACCTTTCCCCAACGAAAAAATACTTTGCCGTAATCAACATACCCTTAAACTCAATATAAGCCATATATCATCAACTATTGACTTACCCCTACACCGGCGATTACCATTCGTTCGGGTGTGTGATGATACTTTAAATAGTTCATCAAAACATCTCGATTAATCGAATCCAAATTTTGTGGTGGGCACAACTTAGGCAGACCCAAAGTGTTCTCGCGATAAGCTGCAGCATGGATCATGTCCATCAATATGGGTTCTTGCTCAGGACGCATTCCCAAAGTTTCTAGTTCAAATTGAATCGTTCGTCGTGCCAACAATACCTCATCCTCATGCAACGTTGGCCTCAGAGTCACATCCGCCAAAAGGCGTGTCACAGATTCAATTGCACGACTATCGATACTTGCCGCATATATTAATGTGTCCCGGGAACTCTGGCAATCGCAGATACCACCATTTTTCTCCAGTTCTTTTAATATAGCATCTTTGTTGGGGAAATTTGTTGTAGACTGTAAGAAAACGCAATACAAATTTGATTGCCATCCAGACAAATAAGAACTTTTACTTACATTGAAAGCCAATTTTTCGAGGAAATGTGAAACTCCACTGGGATATGTCACTTCATAACGTGGACCGGAATCAATTACCAATCCAACTGTACAGAACTGGCCAAACCGAGGTTCCGAGGCCACCCTCAAACCGTTTTTTAGTACCGTTACCTTAGTAGTGGAGCCCTCCTCCAAAGGCTTTGCATATTCATATTCAACATTGCCTTTATTGAACGGTTGTGTCAATGGAGGCAGTTTTGTCACCACCTTCGTCGAAGGTTCGTTCACGGTGTATAGACCTCCTTCGTTTTTACGCAAAGCACCGGTAATATTCCCTATGCCTGTGCCACCTCCAATTTCATCAGTTGACGTTTCTGTTGCAAAGAAACGCCGCACCAAACCCGGAGGAGAACTAAAACAAAGCCAATTGAGGTTATTTTTTCAAATGAAAACTGATAAGAACTCATGCCTCTGCCAAGTGCTCCTTAACGTCCGCAAACTCGCCCGTAACTGCATTTTATCACTGTTGAAATGGCGAGAAATTTGTCCAAAATAATATAGAATTGGGTGAATGCAATCTTTTTTTAGTTATCCACAAGTTTTAAGAAAGAATTTTTTGACAGCCAGCCCATGGCATTACACCACCATACCAGACGAAATGTCAAACCTTATTTGCTTGTGTGTGTTTCAATCACAATAAGTGTTTTGACAACTTATCCAGATGACCAGCTGCGGCAAATGTAGTATTCACGGCCTATCTATAAGGTCATCCGATGAGACCAGCTGATTACAAACGTATGCAATAGTGCGAATGTGAACGTAAACAAAAGAATTGACAATATGAGACATGCCCTATATAAAAACATTGAACAAATAAGTTTGCTGTCAAGACTTAATTGTGATTTGAAATTTAAATAGAGTAAAATCACGATTGAGACAATAATACCATGGTAGAAGAATATAGGTAGTCGCATCGACACAGCTGCTGGGACAATGAACTGTCAAGCCAATTTTGAAATTGAAAATTTTGAATGAAAAGTTATACAAATTTATAAAAATTGTTGAAAAATTCATATCATAACAACTTTCAATTGGTGTTGTATGAGAAAACTTATAAAAATCTACTTATTAAAAAAAAAACATTTTAAAAGTGTTAACATGTATGAAGCATGGTACAATGAATTCAAGGTAGGGCAGAACTACCATATGATTTAAATTTTTTTATTTTTCTGGCTTAATATGCCAACTTCATTTGCTTATGTGTGTGTCTTCTTTTCAATAATAAAAAATTGTTCAGAAAATATTCAAATTCGGGTGTTTTCAAAATGCTTATTGCAACGAATGCATCGACAAAATCTACAGTTTTTGTCGGGAAATAAACCATAAGAGACATATAGAACATGATATTGAAAAGAAATTTTGACCATTCATTCAGTTTTCGCGGTTTTAAATTATTTATTCAAAATCAAGTTGAAAGTTTTGAAAGTCTTGAAAGTTTTGTTTCCTCTACATTTTGCATCCAATTGATATTCCCTAATGAACTGCTTTGACAAGATCATCACGTAGAAAGAGACGTACTTACTTGGTCGCAGCTAAATAAATAATAAAAGAAAACCATAACCAATCTTCGTTCGCATGTTGGTATTAAGCTATAAATAATATTTGTTTTTATTTCATTAATCTTACAATTAGTATTTTACTACTTGGTATTTGCTGAATAATATTATTTCATTACAAAGTTACATACATCATTTATATTCTTATCCATAGTCTGACTAAACTGAAAATCACATTTAAGTTGACCACCTTATTTTGGGATCTACACAAATAAACTGAGAATTTATCAAATATATTATAAAGTGGTGCCATTGGATCGAAATGTTAATACTTGCTATTTATAAATAATAATACAATATAAAATAGAATAATATGAACAAATATAATATTCTTAAAAATACACGGCATTCTATTTAGTTTGCAATAATGGTTAAGTGTTTTCTTTTTAATTTTCTCTAAGAAAATTATTGCAATTTTAAAATATCCGTATGATCGTTTTGTTTAACAAATATATTTACGATTCGTGTTCCGCTTTCACAATAAATTTGGAACATTAAATTTGGTCCTGAAGTCTATTGGAACAACCCATCCTCTGAAAGAAGTTATGCAGCTGTATTTATTATGTCCATTGCGGTATGTAGGGCCCTTGTGAGCATATCTGAATATAGGCGTGCATCACAAGCTGAAAATCTTGCTTTAATAATACGTATATAATTATGTGGATTGGACGATTCGTTTAAAATATGTATGTCTTCCTCGTCCCCATTTGGAACAACGTTCAAGGGTTTGGAGAAGTCACAGTTATTTGTATTGGTTTAATGTGCATCAAAAATCTATGGTCTCCACACAAAAATCAATAAAAATAAAAAATGTACTGCTTTCTTAGGTTAGGCATTTGCGACACGTTTCGAATTGTTTTTTTCGCGGTATTACTTTTGTCTTAGCTCCGTATCATATTGTTTTCGTTGAAAGTCATACAAAATAAACAACCGAAGACATAAAATCGTGTCGCAAATTCCTATACACTCTTTTGGAGTTTTTTTTTTTTTTTTTTTTTTTTTTTTGGTGATGTAAGATTAACACCAAATTAGGTTGTAAACATGTTAATATCCATTCGCTGAGAACATTGATCTTTAATGTGGATAATCAAAATAATACTCCAGCGACATTTGAAAAAATGTCTTTTATTCATCGGTAAATGGATGTTCCGATGTTTCGCTACTGTTTCGTCTTCGGTTTTCGAGTATTTTAGTGGCTTGTTCCAATGTTTCTCTATAAAATATATTATAGTTTTCACTCGGCAGTGAATATTTCGAGTCATCTAGATGCCATGTTAAACCCAGAACAATATTGAACGCGGAAGTATCATAGCTGTGACACCCAGAGTAACGATACTGTGGCTTTTTGTTATACTTGCAGCCATTCGATTGTGCACCTATAAAAGACAAATATTGTTATTGGAAGATTAAAATACATGTACCTTCGATGATATACGTTATCATCAAATTTGATACCCTTGCCAATCAAATTTCGTTTTGTAGGGTTTTCTTAGAATTAAATTTCATTTTCACATCGCATTTTTAATAGCTGTTTGTTAATTTGCCAGTTTATTAAGATTGAAATTGAAAGTTCAAATGTATCTTTAATTATGCAGTCAGCGACTAAGATAACTTCAGCACTGGCAAACCTATTTCTTATATTTTCAGATTATTTATTAATCAAAAATATTATAGCTCAATATTATTTTAGAAAATAAATGACCAAAATCATTATGGGATCCGTGTCTTCTGTTACATGTGAGGGCAACCCCTGAAATCAATTGGTAACGTACATTGTATACGACTTCACTAATTCAGTCTCGACTTGAAACGACGAATGTGGCGAGAAGACGGAATCGAAGAAACTCATTTGCGAACATTGTGGGAAGTCAGAATCCGGGAAACTCACTCACTCAAGCTATCTTTTTGTGGTGTATTGTGTGTATTATGGTATATTGGTGTATATTTTTCCGAGCAAACCAAACTAATTAACGGTATGAGTCAGCAGCAAGGATATGAACAGCAGGCCTTTGGTGGCCAGCATGCATCAACTTCTACAGGAGGTACACAAATTGTCCGTGTTTCCGAAATGAGGACGAAATACGAATTAATTAAATAATAGGCGACACTGGAATTGCATGAATTGAGTGTTTTCTTTTGTTTGTTATCATTGTAGACCAGGCGTACGGATGGAAGCCGAATCCGTCGGGATCCAGTTCTCCGTCCAGCGGGGGAGGCTTCTTGGATCCAGAAAATTTGCAAACCAAAAACTTTTCGTTTAACGAGGAAACTGTCCGCAAAGGATTCATTCGTAAAGTATACCTCATACTAATGGTAATGTCAAGTGTAGTTGGGAGAGGGATAAATAACAAAGTCTACATGTAGATTGCATTCGTTTTAGGCTCAACTTCTTTTTACTTTCGGAATGGTGGCTCTGTTTCTTTTCCATGAGCCCACGTTAAAATTTTCTCAAAACAATCCGGGCTTGGTACTTGGAGCTGCAATTACAACACTAGTTGTTGTGATAGCAATGGCTTGTTGTGAAACGGCTCGACGCTCGTTTCCTGTCAACTTTATATGCCTTGGAGTATTCACACTGGCTGAATCTTTCCTGGTCGGTGCTATAGCCGGGCGATACAATTCGGAAGCGGTAAATATTTGCGCATTCGACTGTCATTCCAAGTTCTAAATAAAAAATTATCTGAAGGTATTTTTGGCTGTTGGAATTACGGCAATATTATGTCTGGCACTGACGATTTTTGCCATGCAAACAAAGTACGACTTCACTGCATGTGGTGGATTCCTCATCGCTGCCCTTGTCTGTTTGATGATATTTGGCATTGTTGGAATGTTTTGGAGAGCACACATTGTACAGACCATATATGCCGGTTGTGGTGCATTGCTGGCCTGTGTGTTCCTTATATACGATACACAGATTATGATGGGTGGTGACCACAAATACAGCATCAGTCCAGAAGAGTACATATTTGCTGCATTAAATCTTTATATGGATGTTATTCGCATCTTTCTCTACGTTTTACAATTGATTGGCAACAGAAAGTAGATGACGGCGAAAACGTTTTCGAGAGCAATCGTTCCACCTCTACATACTCGAAGAATTTACAGGATGACAACAATGTCACAAATGATACCTTTTATTTAGAAAGCTAATGATTAAAATCAATTGACTTTTTTATTTTCAGATCAACGGTACTACAAGAAAATTTACCAACAAATGTAAATCACCTATTTGCAATAAAATATTCTAATCTTGTGTAGTCAATATTGTGAGTCACTGTTATTTGTTAACAAGGAGGGATGTTCTAAAATTGATTTTTCAGATTGCTATGGAAGACAGAAAAGACAAATGTGTCCTTTTTACAGACAGTCTTGCGGCCGTTGTCATGTTATATGGACTCCTGGTCATAGCGGTATCTCTTTCAATGAAGAGGTTGGCTCTCGGCCAATGATGATTAAACACAAAATTGCCAATGACTGGAACGAGGAATTCACTCAAATTTCAACAACCAAGGGAAATAAAACTTTTTCCAAATTTGTGAAAATGTTTTTGCACGTCCCTGGTACCTCAAGCTAAACCTATCCTCGAAGGATACAAAATTAATAAATAGGTTGATGGTTGGTCAACCTTATGACAAGGTGTTTCTACATCGCATTAGAGCAGTTGGTAATGATATTTGCGATACATGTGGCAGTCGTGAAGATGCCCAACATTGTATTTTTGAATGCCTGAGGTTTGTAAACATAAGATCCAATTTTCCTAGCCTCTTCTCCCTTCACCATAAACTGACAACGGTCCTCCAAAACAAAGACACCAATCTCTATACACAACTCCTTGATTTTATCAAGGAAGCTCATCTACAACTGTGATTTTACCTTACACTGTGATACACTGTTACATTTTATAGAGTACAGTTCATCAAGAAAATATTTTTAACAACCTAATTATTAAGAGAATCTTGTCGGTGTAACAAACTTACGAGGTAACATTTTTTATTTAAAAAATAAAAATAGTAGGCAATCTAAATGATCATTTGTTACACATATGAGCTCAGTGAAGTGTGCCAGAACGCTGTCATATAAAATGCATGCAAATTATTAAATTCCTATACACCGATGTGTTTGAATAATTGTAGATTGATATCTGTAGGATTAAACTATCATTATTTAATTGGGGTAAGTAGTTAATAAAAAGGAACAAATATATAAAATGCAAAGATATAAACGATGATTCACTTCCAAACATCGCTGGATTCGTATACGAACAAGAGATCGACTATGGATAGCAATTAGAGATCAGTGTCCGTCCCACTCGGTACTCGTAAATGTATACATTTACATATTTTTTCATTGTAAAAATGTATATTTCAATAAATCATTTGTTTGTAGCATGCCCCATAACGCAAACAAAACAGTATTCTCAAATCCGCTGTTGCGTGTACTTTAGCAGAATAGCAATACTTGCCATGGACATTGCGTCTGTTATACAATATTTAAACACACTAGTTGTTTAACACGTTGGAATATTTGAACACGTTAGGATCATCTTCCAGTGATGTCAAGGATAAGCGTTAAGCTTGTTTGACAGTTCGAAAGCCACTCAATTCTTCACATTAATTCCAATAAATTTGCAATGTTAAAACGTTTAACTTGGACAGGTTCAAATCAAACTACGCATATGTGGGTTGCTACTATTTCTTTAAATAAATTCTAGACTTAATAGCTAAGACTTACCTATGGGATCCAAACATTCCAGTGTAAGCGCACATTTTATCCATGGCAGAAGTATCTTTTCGGTAACAAAAGATGTGTCCTCAAACAGAACCGTATCCAAATCCACCATCCTTAGGAAAATGAAATCATCTGCATCGGTTTGAAAGTAATCAAACATTTTTGGGTGCGTTCGTGTGGAAACGGCAGTTGGTGTATTCCAGCCAAGCACTCCAACCAAGTGTAAATGTCTCTTTAAGTCAATCAAGTCATGACTCGTTCCCCGAATTCGTATGTAGTTTTCGGCAAATAAAATGGACTTAGATCGCATCAATGCGTCCTTAATTATAATCGGACGATATGCATGCATACGTTGGTCGGACACATGAGATGGGAACACTGATAAATCATACGATATTACGGTACAGTGCGAATTATTGCAATATGCAGTCAGGGCACGTAATTCCTCTTCGGATAATCCCAAGTCATATATGATTAAATATTCATTTGGGAATTTTAAAGCTATATTCTGCGACAAAAGAATGGCAGATGGCGCTTGCCCTTCCTGAACGTAAGTAACAATTGTGAAATTTACTTTAGTGCCATTAAATAGGTGAACGGCAGCATTATGCAATTGTGAGTGCTGATAATTTTCGGGCACCTCTCTCGAGTTCGGCAAAAGTTCCACATCAAGCATATAGCCAGGATATTTGTATGAGCGTTGATCCTTTGTGTTCTGAGCATCATATTTGTAATAGTTTGAAGTCAGTGTATTTTTGGTCGCATTATGAGCAGCTGACGATAAGGTCGTAAATCCCAATAGGGTGAGATATTTCGCATCAATTTCTAGCTTCTTCTCCTCAGAAACGCGTAAATTTTCCTGAAAGAGTTTACAAAAAGATATTACATTCGCTTATGCATTAAACAGGATCAATAAACAATGATGAGTAGTGCCAATGTCATCAGCCTCTAAAGGACTCTTACCTGAATCTTATTGATTTGTTGATGAGTGTGTGAAACAATATTTTTTAAGTCGCTCGATTCGCTTGTACCCAAAATGATAAATAATAAAGTCGATGTAATAATACAGCAAAGAACCACAATGAAGTGCTTTGTTCTCATTGCTGCTTCGGATCTATTTTGTTGTTTCACTTTCTAATGCAATAAAATGGAATGAAGACTTGTGAACTGTATTGCTTGAAAGGAGAAAACGTCACAAGTGAGTCGATCACGGCCTAGACCGTTACATAGGCAAGATAATATTCGTCTTATAACAGGGAATTCATTTATAACTTCCGCATGTTCATGGACATTGAATAAACCTGGAAAAAACACTGCATTATAGCCAAAAGATAACATAATATTCACTACCCACTATACCTTAAAAAGTGTGTAGCTACGCTCGTTTTTGCTATGCTTCCCCAGGCGGCAGAGCTGGTGATACCAAGATATCCGGACAGATTACTAAACCAGCCAGCGAGTCTCTCCAAAAAGTAGGATAATACCACTTGTTCATTTAGAGTTTACATAATAATAAATATATTCTTCCTGAATTTATGTCCATTTATTTCTTCGTTCCTTTATGCTCACTACACTGTCTGAATTTAACTACTCCTTTTACTCCACTTATATGACGCGACGAGCTATGGGCATTGATGAACCAAAGACAAACAACTACTTCCTATTTTGATGTTATATTTATAGGGAACACAATGCTTCCCAAAGATAAAGAATATTTTATATTTTTTATTTTTCCGCAATGCTTATTTATTTATTGTGTAGCCCAATAGGTGTGTGTGTGTTTTTTGTGTTGTGTGATGACAAGCCAAACGTCAAAAACAAGTCTTGATACGTTGGGAATGTCTAGTGAAAAAGAAGAAGCATGTGAAGCCTGTATGGCGGTTGTTAATTCTGAATCCACACAGGATCCAGGAGCATTCCATGAGTAAGTTTTTCGCCAGAGCCTCTTTAGCGAAAACAGGGGTCACCATGTGTGGGCGAGGTTGACAACTACAGCTATATATACAATATATATACAAGTACAAAAAAGATACGTTTCAAACCATGGTTAAGTTTCCTATATTCCTGATTATCTGCTCTATTGTGAATTATTTAAAAGATTTACAAAAATGTTCCAATAAGCTTACAGAGAGCCAATAATCGTTATGTATGTAAATGCAACTCGAAAAACAAGCAGCAAAAGCTAAATATACACCATGGTTGAAGAATATAGGTAGACGCCTCGAAACAGCTGCTGGGACAATGAACTGTCAAACCAATTTTGTAATTGAAAATGTTGAATAAAAAATTATTTAAATTTGTACAAATTCTTAAAAAATGTGTACCATAACAACCTTCGATTGGCTTCGTATAAGAAAACTTATAAAAATATATTTATTTTTGAAAAAACATTAAAAAAATTTTGACATATAAATGTTCCCAAGCGTTGATGCATCTACCTGTATTCTTCTACCATGATATACACGATAAACCAAATATCAGACGTACGTGAACGGAACAACCAAACGGATCAATCGGGCAAATAAAGGCTACGGTGTGGCAAAATAAGACACTATTAGACATTATAATGTATTAACAAAAACAAAAACCGCGAAACAATGCTTCTAACATGCGTCTAGATTTTGAATCAAATGAAAGCAAATCAAGTGGCTTGTATTATTAAAAAACGACGTTACGTGTTAAAGCACTTTTCTGTCAATAGATCTGGTTAGTTTGATATTTTCTACAATACTACTTACACTAATTATGTTGTTATTAATTTTTAAATTTTCTACATCACATTTGAACTCTTCAATTTTTTACCTCTCTTTAAAAACGAATTAAATGAAGGTAGCCTCATTTCAAATTAGAATTCATAACTCTGCATTTTTCTGTAATTTATCTTGTAAAATTTTGTGGCAAAGAAAAAAGATTCCCATCTCTGTGTTGTCAGCATTCAGGGATTATTCTGACTTCGACTGGGAAAAATGCAAATATTTGGGGATTTTGGAAAATTTATACGTTATACACTAACTGGCCAATGTTGTAATGCAAGCCACACACGTAGCAACTGGTTGTACAACTTGGAGAGGTTGTATTCAAGATTGTATCGTTTGTGGCCTGGTTGTACGAAGTTGTGTCTCGATTGCACAAAAAATCAAAATTTTTTGATATTTGGCATGTTGTACCAACCGATTTTAATGTTTGTGGGCATGTCGCATACAATTTCATTTTGTGCTTATTTTCAAAGAGGCAACACCATTGTCTTGCACATCAAAACAACACGAAATGCAATCAAATGTATGATTTCAAAGAAAATATAAAAACATAAAAATATATATGAAACCGAATTTCAAAAAATTAATAATAAATAAAGGCCATTAAGTAAATTATGGAGAACAAAATTAGGAACAACTCTAGTTTGGAAAGGTAGAATTGTCAGCTATAATTTGGCATCAATTTTGTTAACCCCCATAATGGAACCTTTTTTGACTTTTTGGGGGTTTTATAAAAAATCCGGGTCCAAAAAATCGATAATTTGACTATAACTTCCAAACCGTAACATCTTACCCCATGTGACCACTTGTTGGATAGGTATTTCCATAAGCTTTCAATCGATACCCATATTGTCTATATCGTGTAAGTGGATCCGGGTCCAGGCGGGGTCTTGATCCCGGACTTTCGGGTCAAAAATCTGGGGTCCCGGGTCCGTCCCCCAAGAAAAAAATATGGTTAAAATACCTACCACTGCAAAAATGTTCGAAAAAATTGAAGAGTTTTTACTAAACTAGAGTTAAGCCCAAAATTATTTCCGGTTTCATCTTAACTCAAATGAACTCTTCGAAAAGTGAAGTTGTACAAAGAGATTGTATACAAAGTTGTATCGTTTGTGGCCGAAGCATACAGTTTGACAACCCTCCAGGTTGTATCGTATGTGGCTTGCATAATACATGGTAGAATAATACAGGTAACAGCAAGTGTTGTTGTACAACAACATCCACATTCAAATTTCTTTTTGTTCGTAATATGTCCAAAAATATTTAATTAATGCTTTCAAATCATTCCCCTGAATGTATACTTGTTAGCTGTAGGTCCAAATCTCTCAACACTTCAAGCAATCGTTCGAAAATTGTGCAAAAAGCAACATCTCTTTCAAACTGAAACCAAACTGCATATAAACACAAAGTATTCTTCATTTTGCAATTTTAGGAAACGTGAAATATGGACTATATTACCAAAAGTGGTGTCGCTTTTCCTTCACCGGGAAAAGCTTTTCCGCATCATCGCCGATGGTGTTGTGTAAAGTATAAAGTCATGTAATCGTTTGTTTACAATTATTTCAAATTTATGCATTTAATAATATTTTTCACATATCAATATTTCCAAGTGTTGATGCATCTAACTGTATTCGTCTGCCATGCATCAGTCTATTTCAGTTGTTTTTATAAAAACAACAATTATGGCTTTAAGCCTATTTTGCAAAAAAAAAAAAAAAAAACTAAAAAAACAGAATCCTTAAAAAACATTGGTTTAGTTTTATAGAAAATACAATTTTCTTTATTTAAGCTGTCGTGTAAATGTAAGTTATTGCAGTATTGCGAAAAATATATAAATCTTGATATTTATAATTTGATTGTTTAAATTTTTTGCTTGCAAAAAATTATAATAAATCTATGAAAAATGGAAATACTTTTACTTTAGCATTTTTAATGAACATACAAATATTGAATTTCCCCCGCTACATATAATATATATACATATGTGTATAGATAAGTTTATGGTCGCGGCTGTAACAAATAAATTAATTTAATTTATACCATTCCAAATTATCGGGCTTATTCGATGGTGAGTTGAGCATATCGTTCATCATAATGATATTGTCATTAAGCTGTAAGGTCGTGTCCAAATTATCTATTATGCTGCCATTTTCTAAAAAGGGATTCAATAATCAGTGTGAATGAACACGTTATTCTTTGTCCTTGGCATACTTACCGCTTATACAGTCCATACTATTATCCATATGAGTTATAAAGTCGTTATTTACGGCAAATGAATTAGATGAAAGGCTCAATCCACTGTCACTCGATTCCTGTCGAGCGTGGTTGTCGCCAGATAAGAAAGGATCCATATGTAAACTGATGTTGTGTTTATTCACTGATTTCTAAAAAAGAAAACAAGTATAGTATCCTCGTTCATTTGTATGTGTTTTTTGTGGTTTTATTGCTACAAACCTGTCCCGCCTTCTGTTTGAACATGTCGGAATCTTTGTCAATTTCTGTTGCATTGACCCAACTCATCTCCGTCTTGGGCTTAATTTCTTTTTGAATTAAAATCGCTATAAGCCAGGCATATTAGAATACTTTCCCAAAGCAAAGTTTTGCATAGAATACTTACGAAATCTTGGGTCACTAAGTCGTGGATCATTCCACGATGTTGTACGGTCAATATGATTGATAAAATAAACTTCTCCAGTTTCCGTCATTGCCTGCTCCCACCCTTCTGGTAATGGGCCCAGATTACTTGAAGCCAAGATATTTTCTCCAGCTGCGGTCTTACCTATAGCCCTTGCATTGGCTAAAGATGGAAAATAACTTAGTAATATGAGCCCATGCTCAAACAAACAATGCTTTTGTATACTCACAAGCAGAATTCAATGTCTGTTGTTGTTTAAATTGTGTTCTTGGATCTTCCCATTGCGTCGTTTTTGTTGTATGACTGAAAGACAAAAATCAGTTTATTGAAATTGCATTTGAAAATAACAATCTAACGTAGACAACTAAGAAAATATACAATTAAATACTACGAAGAACGCAAGAAAAAGGTACAACTTAATTTAAAAAATAATTTTAATCGGAAATGGTAATAAGGACCAATAAGCGCTAATGGAGTTTCGAAAACATTTTCGATATAAACTTTCCTAAATAAGGATATTTGGTGGGAAACATATACATTTACTCACATTCGAAAAATTTCTGTTTGGCTAAATTTCTTTCTTTTTACTGCAACTCTATGGATTTAACTTCTTTGATTACATTAAATCAAAGTATATTGTGGTTTATCATAAATTCAAAATCCAAACATTATAACAAACTTAAAACAATATGCCAAGTTACATCGCTTAAAATGAAACGGCAGTAAAAAAAGACAATATAAAAATGAAAACTTCACAAAAATAAAAAGACGCTAACAAAATTTGGGTGGGAAGCATTGTGGCAAGTTCTGAACTTTTGTATATATAACCAAAATTAGTGTGGAGGTTCAATAAAACCCTGTACATTGTTCCCATCTAAATGTATATTATTAAATATAGAAAAATAGGATTTTCAGGTGAACTATAGATTAGAACTAATAACGTATTTGAGGGAAAGAGGATTTTTATGTCACTCTAAATGTTTTTTCTTACACCGAAAATGCCAACCGATTACTTAAGCCTGGGAAAATCATCTAGTTTATTACCCATTTTTGACAGAAAACTTATTTACACGGTTTTGATCTGTATGGTAAAAACAGTAATTGAAGGGGCTTTGCAAAGCACAATATATACCGTTCGAATACCCATGAAGAAAACACAGTGCCTTTTATAAAAATTGTTAATAAATTCAATTGAAAATAAGTTTTAAGAAGAACAACATCCTTAAGTCATGAAAGACCAGTAAAATATACCCAAACCCGACTCCAGAAATAGAATCGAAACGTATTTCTTCAGTTTTCCGTTTAGTTTTAACAAAATACGTTATTATAAGTTCTAAGTTTTAGTTCGTTTACTAACAGACCAAAACCTCCTCGAAATCTAATTTTTCAAAAACGTATAATGTCAATTTTAACTGGGCACAAAACTTACACGGTGCATCCGAAAGTTTCCTTTTTAGTAATCATCATCAGGTTACCATAGTTTTTAAAGGATAAATATAAAACCATTAAGCAATCGCAATCAATTTTTGCGCCTGCAGAACAAGAAATGCTTTTCGAAACTATTTTACTTGCAATAGCCCTTACCAAGGAACAAATAACTAACATATTTGAGATGTGTCGACTTTATCCACAAATACAAACAGCAAATAACATCCACAATTTTACTGGCACTCATGGGTCTTTGCCTGCTCCCATAAGCAACATGTAGACCCTGCCACAACATTGCAAAATAAATTGTGGGGACGGATAGTAAACAATATTGTTAAATAATAAAACAAAACATTAAAAAAAAAAACAAATATGGTATTAAGGACCGTTATTAACAGTTCGCTGAAATTTCAGTGAACTAAAAATATAACCAGAAGCAACACTCACTTGCTGCATTCAAATTTGATTGAAACAAAGCATGGTGGATATTTAGAATAGTGGAGTAATTTTGTCAGCGAAATGTTGTTGAGCTTGAATTGACAGGTTTACTAGATAACATAACTATGTGTTGTTCGTTCGTTTACTTATATTTCTTGAATGGAAAAGTAATCGAACTGATCAATTATTTACTTTTAGTTCTAAACTTAATTTGTTGTTATTAAAGCTGAAAAATATGAAACTGTTCGAACAAATCCAACCGATAGCAACAGGTGGCTTGTAATAACGGCCCTAAGTGGTTTTACTTTCACCAAAATATAAATATCGAATCAGATTTCAATTCAATATTATTTTGGTAAAATCTTATTGGATGTCAAGACTTAAGGTAACACCAATTGAAATTAGAATACAACGTACCGATGATATTCATATTCGTTCCGCAACCTGTTGAAAGCGCTTGTTTGGGGTTGGATAGAGTTTAAATTAATTAACAGGGGTTAGAATTCTTAAAAGTATTCATCGCACGTTTCGGTGATATTTTCGAGGGATAGACAATTACCTTACTTTGGAACTATCGTAATTCTGCATGGATCAATTTTTAGCAGCATGTAGAGAGATTATAGGTTCAAAAACATATAGACATTGTTAGCAATAACACTTAGCTTTATGATTGCTGCAACGAAAACCAAAAAGGAACGTATGTACTCACTTTAGATAATAAATTTGACCATCATGGGTCTTTGCCTGCTCCCATCCGGGTGGTAGGGGGCCCAATTCATTTTGCAATTGTATCGGACTTATGACGTCGTACGAACGCTGTTTCATGTGGTAGGATTGCAGGGGACCCGGGGCTCCAGCCCCAGATATCCCGATTATACTATTGTTGTTAAGACCTGCTGCCGCTGCTACTGCAGCAGTTGCCGCGTTGTACCCCAACAAGTTGCTGGGGAAGCCAGGAGCGTTCGACGCATTGTTTGCTGCTCGAGCCACATCACTCTGTTGCTGCAAAAATGGTGTTTCTTCTGCCACATTGCCTCCGCCGTGTATGTTATAAGATTGCTGAAGGGAAGCTGGGCTACTGTGGGCACGCGAATGGCAAATTTGTAAACGTGGTTCGCCTTGAGGTGCAGCCGAAGTTGAAGCAGCGGATTGCGAATTAATTGTCGATGTGGACTGTTGCTGCACTTGTACAGCCGTTGCGGCCGTTGTCTGTAAATCTGAGAGGGAAGATGCCACCGAAGTCTGATTGATATTGGGCTGAGAACCACAATCATAGGCGGAGTCGACACTATTAGCTCGCGAGTGTGACACTGTTGGAGACTTCGGACTGGCAGCGGGCGGAGTAAAGAACGAGTTTGGCAATTTGCGCATGCGGAAAGGCACTTGTAATGGGCGATTTGATTCGCTTGGATTCAAGACGCTATCGAAGAGAGCTCGCAAGTTTTCATCCGAGTTTTGATAATTACGAACGACCAGATTAATTGAAGATTTCGACGCAGCTGACGTCGAGTCTTCCGTCTTAACGCTGCATTTGTTTGCGTCGTCACTCGCGCTGGACTTACTCAACGACATTCTTGTGTGTATTTATACAAGAAAAAACAGGTCGAACGAACTATCGTAAATGAAAAAATTGTGTATACTCTCCGTTTTAATTACGTCAAAATAATAGCTGGCACAACATTTCCAAATGCAAGAAATTCTCCTACGAATATTCCAAAAATGTTCTCTCGAAAATTGAAACAAAACTTCGATATTGTTTCTTTTTATTCATATATACGCAATATTTAATTAGGAAATGAAATGAAACCAAACGAACAAAAAAATTCTCACAACAAGTTTATATTTGGAACTTCAGTGTGTTGGTATTTCTCGTTCGATGGTTGCCACACGTAAAATAGAACAACTCTCATTTTCATGATCTGGCATAGTTAAATTATTTTTAAAGCGAAGTGGCAATACGCCGAGCTGTCTGTCGTGTTGCCATGACAGAAGAATACAGGTAGATGCAACAACGCTTGGGAGCATTGATATGTCAAAAAAATTTAAATGTTTTTTTCAAATATGAGTAGATTTTTATATGTTTTCTTATACTACGTCATTCGAAGGCTATTATAATTCGCGTTTACAACAATTTTTTGCAAATTTAAATAATTTTTCATTCAACATTTTCAATTCCAAAATTGGTTTGACAGTTCATTGTCGACGCGTCTACCTATATTCTTCTACCATGCGTGTTGCCCTGAAAACATTTTATCCGAACTGACACTCATTATTAGGATATATTTCTTGATCCGGTTTGTCAACAAGATTATTTCCTTTTAAATTTAAAATTCATAACATGATTATGTTTTGTTTTTATCCCAAAACTGAAAAATGTATTCTCTCCAATTTCTTATATGTAATCTGTTAAGATGTTTTCACAGAAAGTTACCATAAGAAACGGTTCTATTGTAAACATGGTGGATTTAAGAAGGTAAGGTCATATAATTATATTTTATTTGTAATTTTTGTCAAAATTATTCATTTGACAAAATTTCATTGTAATATATATAATATATATGTATAAATATATAACATAAACAATATCATGGATTGGAACCTGTTTTCTTTGCAATTAAATTTGACAAGGTAAGTTACAGAAAATTCAGAAACGGATTTGTCTATTTATAATTACTTTACCTCCTAAATTGTAATTGCTTGAACATTTTTATACCATAGAATTCCAATTGGAATTTTTCAAATGAATGCGACAAAGTGTTACAGCTTTTAGTGCTCAGACTTTTTGTTCTTCGAGTGTTATCACGAATGCACGTTTCACAGAAAAATGCTTTTTTGAGTGGCTTAAGTCATTGGCTAGCTTCTTCGGAAAAGAACAAAGGAGTTTTATGTTGACTTAGTTCGATTTTGACCTTACGTTCATTTGTTCTTTTACGAAGAAGCCATCCGAGCCTGTCAAAAAAGAGTTTTCTGTATTCTCACCTTAAGTTTTTCTTTTCTTTCCTGCGTATTCTGGATTCGATGTTTTTTTTAAAATTGTTTGTTTCATTTTTAAAAACTATAAACAAAGACAGAAGTATAAAGATAGGACCAGACAGAGTAAAAATATGGCAGCCCTGTGAAAAATATCTCTGTTGTTATTATATCGTAACAACATAGTTACCAATACTAAGCAATTTAAACCGCTAAGGTAATATGCAATTAATTGGGAAGGTATATGGATTCGAATATTTTGGACTATTCAAACTTTTGTCATTCTTTCCTATAATTGTGCTTCAGAATCCATTTTTAGTTTATACTTCTGTATCTACACCTTTATGTACTCTAACTTTAATATCATTTTGCCATGTACACAACTATTATAATTACTATGCATATTGAAATCTATCGGTGTGATTCAACTGGTTATCTGTCTTATTTTAATAATTTCGTCAAACAAAGGCTCTGTTTCAGAACCTGATTTTTAACATTCTATCAAAAGAAACCCAGCTTGAGCATCCTATTACATCCTAATTTGGTATGTTGCCACTTCTTCAAATTGGACAAAAGTGTGTTATCGGAAAGGGTCGATTTTGTAAACTCTAATGCTTGTCTTTTCCAACCTTTAGAAACCTTGTAACCAATCCACGGCGATTTGTCAGCCATTTTCTTTACTTCGAGAGAAAGTCAAAATAAATAAATTGACATATATAGGTGTGTCTGGTTACTTTTCCTGCAGGAATTGTCCAGCAACTTCTTTCTGAGAGAGTAACATGCTTTTATTCTCTTTTGCAAGCAAAATGCGAAAAGTAAACAGACGGTATTCCTGCGGAAGTTTGCAATTAATCAGCTGATTTATGAAAACAAACCAATTTGTCCCCCATGAAAAGAATTAAAAGATAGGAAGCACCACCAATTTCACATTTAAAAAAAAAAAGGAAACTAGCAATTAGCGTTTTTCACATTTTGTAAAGTTGTTCTCCAAAAACAATTAGTCTTGCTAATTCCAAAACAATATTTTCAAATTAAAATCACAAAAAGAAATAAATAAACAATAAAAAACATCTGATTGAATGTCGATGAATGAGAAGAAGAAGAGTTGCAAGAGATTGCAAGAAGAAATTTGTCCAGCAAGAATTTGCAAACTCTCACTGAAAGAACTGTCAAAATTTCTCTCTCCAAGCGCTCACTTTTGCAGAACTTTCGGGTTAACAGACGACTTTCAGTAACAATTTGTAACAATTGTTACAAGTTTTAGGGTAACCAGACACACCTTATGTTGTCTGTCAAATCTTGGCGCAAACTAATTTATATATACATGCATATGTATGTATAGCCAAATAAATTTATAAACAAATGAAAGAACTGAGGAAAATAGTTGAAATAGTTGATAATACCGACACTCAATGATTTACTAAACAAAACACTGGGAAATGCTAGATTTTGTATAACAGTGTAACACCAAAGCAAGCGTGCTCAGTAGGCGTTGAAATTACAATATTTCGATTCTCGGTCGCAATTCGACAATTCCTTCATAGATTTACAATAAAACAATAATAGTTAGGTCGTGACGTTGCCGCGGAGGAGGTGCATCTAAGTTCATTCGGTTTCTTTTGCTAGTAATTAGCACTGGTTCGCTGTTTGTTCGGAATTATGCTGTCGCCAGATTTACATCACCAGGAGGAGGTGAATTCGGCTCTAGATCGTCAGATTCGCAAGGATATACAGGATATGGCTCAGGAGGCTCAAATTCAGGCACAAATTATTTCACACGAAGGTATGTTCTTATGCTTGTTATGTTTTGGCTTCTCCAAATTGTGTATTGATTGACGGACGGTAACGTCCGTCATTTGGCTGCCATAATATTTTCCAACAAGCTATATGTCAGATTACGTAATTTGACGTATGCATACGACATACCACCGAAAATACAAATGTCGTTCTCTAGATGTCTAGTTGGAAATGTCATCTGCCTCGAAATAATAACAATGCCAATTTGGTAAAGAACTGAATTTGTAGAGTTTTAAAGCGATTGTGATCGTGATAAACAAATTTATTTTTGTTTGTGTGTTTAGCCAGAGACAGATATCAGTCGACGTCAAGCGTTGAAGATGATGGACATGAAAATATGGGTCATGATGGTACCGTTACCGTTCTGGGAGTGGTGGAAGATGATCAACATGAAACCATAGTGGAGGAAGATGTTTCCGAGCACGATATGTCGGAAATTCATGAAACAAAAGAATACAAAGATGTGATGATGGACTCGCAAGATGGAAGTATGCTCCGCAAACGAAGAGGAAATCTCCCAAAACATTCTGTTAAAATTCTCAAGCGGTGGCTCTATGAACATCGGTATAATGCTTACCCAAGTGATGCTGAAAAATTTACGCTATCACAAGAGGCAAATTTAACTGTATTGCAGGTAATTTACTGTTTTTCAACATTTATTATATAAAGGTATAATGGTAGCTTTATGGTCCCAAGCTATGTTCATTAAGTATAAAGCAAATGTGAGTGTTGTGTAGCAGAAGCAGCCCCTGTAACAATATACATTGAACTTGCCCAGATGCATGCATCAATAGTTTTATTCTGTAAACATATCTTCAACAAATGTATTTATATCATGAAAATTTGTTATTCTTTCTGCCATAAATTTCCTGCTTGCCATAATGAGACTCCCAACACTTTTAAGCGTTTTGCAACAACAAAAATAATACCACTTCTTTGTATATAGTTGTAACCCTTGTGTATATTTGGTATTTTTAGGTGTGTAATTGGTTCATAAATGCACGGAGACGCATTTTGCCAGAAATGATTAGGCGGGAGGGAAATGACCCTCTGCATTTTACTATTTCTCGCAGAGGTAAAAAGCATAACTCATCCATGAATTCTTCAGGAAGTCTAAATATGTCGGGGATTGCGCCAAACCCAATTACAGGCAGTCCGGCGTCAGAAGTAGTGAGTTCATTTGCGTATTCTTGTTTGAACTTAGCTTAATAATTATTTAAACAATTTATGTTCCAGATCGTAGGAGCAACGGAAGAAGTAGAAGGCGAAGAAGTTCATGATGGGGTGGCCAGTGTGTTAACAGCATTGGGCCATTTCGTCCAAACACCGGGTGGGCAAATGGTCAAGGTAGAACCAGATATAGAATACGATGATAGTGTTATATACAGGTATGTAATAATATAACGCAGGTGAATTTTCTTCAACTGTTCTAGTATTAATAAGATTGCCCAAAAATATTAATTCGAAAGATGCGAAAATAGAATCGATACAAGTCCCCAAGAATTCCATATTATACGATCACAAGTGAAATCCAAGTTTATAGAAAAATTTCAAGAGCCCAAGCAATGTCCAGAATTATCTACCAATGTGTCAATGCCATTACCTTGTTCAAAAAGTGGTCCAAATAACTCGGAATCGTATTGTAATGCAAAACATTACATTAAGTCCGAGCATCCATTTGTCACAACCTCATCCATTTGTCAATATTCACCCAAAGCGGAATGCAACTTATACACACAGACATTGAACGAAATTTTTCATTTGCAATACCAAGACAACTATCGCAAAAGCAAAATAAAAGAATTGAGGTAGCTGTTCCTCTTAAGAATTGTGATTTGAATGTTAACGGGTAATTCATGTGTTTGATAATACAAATGTGCATTTTATTTTTGATAATAGGTCGGAGGACGACAGTGCTAACGAATATGATACCTGCGAAGCACCTAGTGGAGAAGAGGGGAAATTTGAAAACTCTGATGCTTGGCAATCGGTAATGAAGTAAGTTTTGATAAAAAGCCGTTTGTCACACATTGACCATCATTCATATAAAAATAATTCTTTATACTTTAGTACTGAAGAAGTGACAACAACAAGTCCAGCGACAGGAAACCACACGTATTGGTCCTCTTCACACTCCACATTGTCACATGCGTGTCCTTCCGCCGAAAAAACAACAGGTAAATATACATACAAAATATGGGTAAATTGTCTAAAGTCTTCCCATTTCTTTTAGTATTACTTATTATAAAATAAACACATTTGCAAAAGCACCGATCGAGGTACGCCAATAATACGTTTTAGGGTATATTTTCAAATCGCTATTACCCAAAACCTTTAAAATTACTTGAATAAAAAACATAATTACTGTTAATATCTCAAAAATTATATTTAAAAAATGTTGTCGAATATATGACATATATTGCTCGTTTTCAAAAATAAGAGTGTCAAAGCAATTTCTATTTCTTTCTACGAACCTATCTATATTTTACTGTCAAATAGTCATGTTGATATTTGTAGAACTCAATGGGTTACAGCTATTTTTACATAGAGTTTGACATGAGTCAATAAACAGTATATTGAGTTTATGAAGTACTAAAACACTTCAAACCATACTTGATCTTACACTGATATCTGGTCACCTCTTTGCAAATAATTTTATTTATGGTTACCTTTCTTTTTGTGTAACAGACGTTAAAATTCTTGGGTTAATTTCAATCTAGATTTCGAAACTGATTTTTTGTGATGTGATTTTTTTGGACAAATTATCGATATAAAAAGCTACAACTACAATGTAGGATATGTCGGTAACTTATGAAGTTGCAATTGCTTTTATATACATACATCCCCAGATGATAACCCCCGATATACTCTTGCTTTTTTAATCTATACAGGTAGCACAATGCAACATCAATCAACGAGTGTAATTCTACCGAGTGGGGAAGTTATTGCTCCAGAAGTCTCTGGTGTTGGTGCTGAAGCTACAGTTATGACATCTAACAATCCCGCTCATCAAATTGGCAGTAATTCCTTGAACAATAATGACTTTGTTTCGAACAATGCTATTAGCCATATATTCAAAGGTAAGACAGATCGATCGATAATGTTTTAATTTTGAACAGAGCTTTTACATTTTCAGGTGTTTCTAATCATGTAATAGACAAATTTAAGTGTTTGTACCTGCTGGTGGAGACTGCAGTTGCTGTGCGGCAACGAGAAAAGGACCATGAAGATGACATACATGTCCTGGGTGATTGATTCTACAGTATGAGAGTCTTCGAAAATTTGAGTCACTTTGTAGCCCGGTCTACAATTAATCTAAATAGTATTTATCTTCCTTCTCCGTACTGTTTCGTTCAACACGAATTTCTGTAATATTCTTATATGCAATTAAAAATTTTCTTGTTTTTAAAACGTTTCGTTTTTAATCATATTATTGAAGATCTCATTTTAGTTTCTTTATATTTGGACACTGTTAATACCGCAGTTTAGTATGGATAATAAGCAAAAAATGCGTATCAAATGAAATGTAACGAGAAATAAAAGAAGGGGCTTCATGCAATCGAAAAATTTCAAACATTGTTATTATTTAGTCGTTTGACTGCGGATTGCAGAGAGAGAGAGTGGAAGGTAGAATCGTTTAAGAATGGTATTATACTATAATTTTACAGAAATATATTCTAACAAACAAAAACAAATTTTCGTGATTTTTATCTGAAAACGATAAATCAAATGAAATTTATTACCTGAAAATTGGCTATTACGAAGAAAAAAACATTTGTCAAGTTAAATTCGGCTGGTGTTAATGGTGTTTTGCGGAAACAAGTCCATAAGTTTGGATATAAAATGAATGTATTGTTCCAGAACGACGCTATGATTGTATATGTAATAATTGTGTGTGCGCCAATAATAAAACATCTTATTTTCTACTTGCAATTATTGTCAGTTCGAATTTTCTATAATAAAAAATATATACCTTATAACCACGGCACAATTATAGAAGGTAGAACAACGCTACCCCCAAATACATTTTTTTTCTTTTGGTGCCCTTATTCTGTCAAAACATTTTTGTTATAAAACTGTATTGTCCTTCTATTTTATATTCCATCTTGTGGAATAACCACGACATTTAATTCTTGTTTCGTAGGTTTGTCCCAATATAAGAGTTTTGTAAAAAAAAAATAAAAGCCAACTGTTGCAGATTTAAAACTCAATTTGACACTATAAGACTCCAGCACAGAGTTGTATTTCTCTAGTTTCTTTGAAGTTGAGCAACCTTTCTTTTTGAGTCATGCTTGAAAATAATATTTTAATAGGCCTAAGAAAAAAGCTTTGAATTTGAAAAAGACTAAGTTGCAAAAAAACTGAACATATTTATTAGCCAAGCATTTTGAAAACTAGGCGCAAACAGTAGTTTCCTTTAAAAACTAAAAGTCGCGCGGAAAATCAAAAAAAAAAAAAAACACATTCCCGAAAAAAATGATTTAACCATGGTACAAAAAAATGTAAGGTTTCTGATCCCGACTTGTGCCAATTTTGTTTTGGTACTTATTGTTGTGAAAAATAAATAAAAAACAAATTCACTGACGAAGAAACATTTATTCGAGAATATTTGCCATGAAATTGAAATATTGAACAGTTTGGACCCAGGGTCAAACAACCACATGTTTACAATTTTTTCAAAATTATTTATTTGACAACATCTCGTCAAAATTCTCTTTTTATAAACTGTACACTCCAAGGATTGTCAGTTGCAAACCCGATGAAACGGTGTAGGAAATCTTTCCAGTGATTCAATAACGAAATACAAATTGTTTCGCCTTATCTACTTTCTGGCTGTACTAATTGAATAAAATTATGGTTGAAGACCATTGGTTGAATTCCTCCAATTTTTCATGTATCCAATGTTAATTAAAAGTTGTTCCACAACATACAAGTTAGTACAAGATAGCATGGTACAATAAAAGGTAGGGTAGAGCTACCACTTGATTACAATTTTTTTCTAAGTGTGCCCGACTTTCAATTTTTATATTGAAAAATGAAAACCAAACATTTTCAAAATCAATGGTTTAAAGAAACTTGTATTGCGGGTCGCGCGTTAAAGCTATTAACCTGTTTTGCAGAGAAAATGAAAGATTGAACAGTATTAATCATTGGGTGTTATAAATATATGGATACCAGAACATGGAAGAATCTGCCATCTATATTTTTTTTGAAACCGAAAAACTAATACTACTTGTAGGCAAATTTCTCTTTACAACTTTACTGTTTTAGATGTAATTCCAGAACTTTATTTTGTAGTTCCCCACGTTTCAATTTTATTTCGAAAATTTTACATGCCATTTGAAACTCGACACAAATCATAGAAGTATAACGATATGACAAGTCAGAGTCAAAATATTGACACCAGGTGGACTTACCTTTGTTGTTATGATATCGTAACAACATATTCACCAATGTTGAGTGATTCTAACAGCAAAGCCAATATTCTATTAATTGAAATCGCCAGAGAAATACAATTTTGAGCCCAAATTTTTTTGTGTGCAGAAAATGTTATACGTAGAACTGCTCTGTTATTGTGCTTTTTAAGCCATTAATTATTTTTCGTATAAACTATTTTTTCATAATGCAATTTCTTCAGTCTTTACCATTTCCGAAATAAATATGTTTTCAAATTGCTAGTCCAAATATAAATCACCGGAAGGGGAAGAAGAAAAGTTGCAAGTGATTGCAAGACTAAATTTGTCCATTAAGAATTTGCAAACTCTCAGTGAATGAACTGTCGAAATTGTTCTCTCAAATCACACTCTTTTGCAGTGCTTTTGCAACAATTGTTACAAATTTTAATTGTTTCATAATTAAGAAAAACGAGTAGCGATTTGTTTTTATTAAAGTGTAGTAGATTATTGAAGGAACTGGAACAGAACTAGTCGTAGCAGCTATTTAACAGTATCCGTTAAAAACCAAACCATGTGAACCCCAGTTACGTCACAAACAACATTAGTGCGCACATTGACGCACACAACAACATAACGGAGGATGTGTGCATATTGAAGATTTTGGAGGGTTGCAAATATCCCTACATTGTGAAAATATCCCCCAACTGAATTTTACGACTGCCATTGTTTTCCTATAAACACGAACGTACTCAACAGGTTGGACTTCAGTTTACCAAGAGAAGTTCAAGCGTGCGGATCAAAACATTCGAAAAAAAGGAAATTATCCGAGCAGGAAAATTTAAAACGGTCGGTTGGCATTAAACCATTAGTCAGTGATACGTCTCATGGTCGATTGATTGACATGAGCAAATAGAAGTGCAAACATCTACAGAATTTTAATTAGCAGTTCCTTCCGACAATTATTCAATTTCTCAAAAACGATTGATTCCGTCAACAAACATTAGCAACAGCAACAAACCCTTGAACGGATTGAATCATTCGGCACGTATGAAATAAATTGAAATAAACCTAAAACCGTCTTTAAATTAAACGGTCACGATAAAACAGCGATCGTCATCACCGATATCTACACCAGACGGTCTCAGTTTCACATCGTCTGAATGCATTTTGATGAAATGGAATTGTTTATCAAAATTTAAAAAGATTGATTTAATCAAAACATTTCGTAGATGTTGTGGCTAAGTTATTTTAAAATAAAAAAAAATGTGTTGAGGTTTTTATGTTTTCTTTTCGTCTGCTCCCATTGCTGAAGTGAAATTTACGAATTTGTAAAATAATAAACATTTTTATGAAACATATAAAATGAAATCAAAGATTCGAAAGTTTTGGTCCTTCGGGACGCTTAATCAGAAAAATGTGAAGGCTTATAAAGAACTATAAAGTGTCGAAATTGACTTTTGTCTAAAAATATTTATTTGAATTTATAATTTACTGCCATCATTTTGTAGTATGGAACAGAACGAAATAATTCTTAATGTAGCTAAACATTCCATATCCAAGTCTTTTAGTATTTTGAACCATTTTCAAAGAAGTTTTATAATAATCTGATACGCTATTTTGGAATTTGCAGAAATATAGATTTAACCATGGCTCAATAAGAAAGATTGCTCAACTTCAAGGAAACTAGGAAAATTCAACATGTTAAATAGACTTTTTAAATATGCAACAATTGGTTTTTATACCCTACACCACAAGGTGGTCAGGGTATTATGTCTTTGTGCATTTGTTTGTAACAGGCAAAAGGAAACGAGATAGACCCATACTTCCTTTTGATGATCTGCACAGAATCACATTCTGAGTCGACTTATGCAAGTCCGTCCGTCCGTCTGTCCATGTATTTTTGTAAACAAAGTACAGTTCGCATTTATTTCCCTATCCAGATGAAATTTTGCACAAATCATTTGTTTGGCCCAAGGACGAACCCTATTGAAATTGGAGATTATCGGTCAAAATATAATCTTCGTCCGATTTGCCTTTTATTGTGCACCAAACGTGTAATATCAGTCCGAATAGTATGAAATTTTGCACGTACGATCAGATTGGACCTGAAAATAAGTATGCCAAATTTGATCGAACTCGGTTAAGATATAGCTATAGCTCCCATATATATTATTCATCCGATTTGTTATTTTTGTCCTCCGCAGCCGTAATATGCACTCTGTAACAACAATATTTGGGGAAATATATTAAATACAGCTCAGAAATACATTATCTAAATTTTATTGAGATCGGTTCAGATTTGGATATAGCTCCCATATATAACTTTGTCCGATTTACCTATTATTGTGCACCAAACTTCTAATATTTGCCCAAATGGTATGAAATTTGGCACTTACGACCGAATTGAGTCTAGAAGCTAGTATGTCAAATTTGGTGAAGATCGGTTCAGATATAGCTATAGCTCCCATATATACTGTTCATCCGATTTGTTATATTTGTTACCCACAGCCGTAATATGCACTATGTAACAACGATATTCAGGGAAATATATCAAATACAGCTAAAAAATATCTTTGCCAAATTTCATCGAGATCGGTTCCGATTTGGATATAGCTTCCATATATATATATATATATATATATATATATATATATATATATATATATATATATATATATATATATATATATATATATATATATATATATATATATATATATATATATATATATATATATATATATATATATATATATATATATATATATACATATATATATATATATATCTTTATCTGATTTCAAATTAATTTTGCACCAAATGGGCAATACAATTTAACAGATACAAATGCTTCGGCATATTTAGTCCTTTGAACTTTAAACTACAATTATAATCATAGCGTGTATGATTGCATTCTCCCATAAAAAACTTTTTAATTGTTATGCGGAGCTCTACTAAATTAGCAAAGTGGTGTAGGGTATCATAATGTCGGCTCCGCCCGACTTTAAGACTTTCTTTACTGGTTTTATTTAATATTTTTCACAAATTTATTATATTGGGGAAAACCAACAAAACTTGAATGGAATATTAGAGTTTACCCACAAAATTGAATCCAAGATAGTAGAACAAGATTGTTTTATCCCAAAATTGTACATTACATTGCCCGTTATAAATAATTTCAAATTATTTTCATTTTTATTCAAAACAATACAAATACACATACAAACTGTGAACTTGTTTTGACAGAATAGGGGCACCGAAAGAAAAAAATTGTATTAAGGGGGTAGCTTTGTTCTACCTTCTGTAATTGTGCCATGGATGTAACCATAGTACAATTAAAATGTAGAGCTGATTTCCTTTTTATTCTCAGTATGTCCAACTTCTGTCAATTTTGAGTGAGTACATATGGTTTTGAAAAATACAAAACAAAATAGTTGTAAATCACTGATAAAAGGCATTACCCCGCTTTGTCATGTAATTAAAAGATTAAAAAGTATGGATCACATTTTTAAAGAAAGCAAATCTAAATTTCATTCATCTAAAAAAATAATAATAAGAACAACTTGTTGCATATAATTTTGGATATTTCTGACAGGAAGCGGATATAGCCTAAGGGCTGTATTTCAGTAGATTGTACCATGTATATAATACCTTTAGCATATTTCTAATTAATAAGTTGTGTTTTAACAACAGTAGAAGAGACATTATCACCTTGGTAAAAAGTTGTAAAAGAGAGGGTCATACTTGTGTGCATGTTCTTTATTTTGTCTCTAAAGTTTTTACTCGATTCTGGAGTTGTAAAGATAGTACAATTAGTGTTATATTGCAGGTGTTGGAATACAACTGACTTAATTATATTAATATGGAAATACATATTTAAAAGAGTGTTTTTCTACTCTACAAACTAGATTCATCAAATTCGCCGCCATTGATATTTTGGGGATATTTTTGGGATGATATTTTGTATTTACAAGATTTTTGCCCACTTTTGTTCTTCCCAAAAAAAGATGATGAACCTTCACATCCGGTTTAGAGATAATTTAAAATTGACTGTTTATAGGGTACTCTTCATATTATCCCTATTATCCCAATAAGAATGCGTTGCTATATTTCACAAAACCCCAAAGACGACGATGCAAAAGCTTTTTTCACGGTATAGAAACAGCGACGCTGCATTGGCTAATGTAGTAGTATTTTTCATGTTTTCTTAAATTGCTAAATGTAGTGCATCTTATGTATATAAGAATTTTGATTCAAGTTTGAATTGGACGTTGTGTTTTTCCCAGCGATTCCATGACGTATATCAAGATTTGTACCTGCAGCTAACTATTATGGATAATATATAAATATATAAAATAAAAATAGGCAATAAAATTAAAACTTAAAAAAAACTGTTTTATCAATAATAGGTGTGTCTGGTTACTCTAAAATTTGTAACAATTGTTACAAATTGTTACTGGAAGTCGTCTGTTAACCCGAAAGTTCTGCAAAAGAGAGCGGTTAAAGAGAGAAATTTTGACAGTTCTTTCAGTGAGAGTTTGCAAATTCTTGCTGGACAAATTTCTTCTTGCAATCACTTGCAACTCTTCTTCTTCTCATTCATCGACATTCAATCAGATGTTTTCTATTGTTTGTTTAGTTTCAATTTGAGAACAACGTAAAATAATGTGAAAAAAAGTAAATATTAATATGTAATAAGAAAATAAAAGACTATTTCCAACATTTTTATTTAAAAAACTTGTAAAATTAGTATTGCTTCCTTTGTTTTAATTCTCCCTATGGGGACAAATTGGTTTGTTTTGACAAATCAGCTGATTATTTGCAAACTTCTGCAGGAATACCGTCTGTTTACTTTTCGCATTTTCCTTGCAAAAGAGAATAAAACTACCTTACTCTCTCAGAAAGAAGTTGCTGGACAATTCCTGCTGGAAAAGTAACCAGACACACCTAATATTTGAGGTGTGATCGTAGTTATTTAATTCAAGGCTTGTAAGATAAAAAATATGTGTCAAAAGGACGTTTATGCCTTATTCTAAGTTGTTTACGTTCTTATACTACAGTGATCATGGTAGATGGATACAGGTAGATGTATTATCACTTGTGAATATTGATATGTAAAAATAGGTTTATTTTAAACATGTGTTTGTTATATAGCTTATCATGATCGTTAGTATGTATAATACAATCCATGGCAGAAGAATAAAGGTAGATGCAACATCTTTTGGAAGCATTGATATGTCAAAAAAATTTAAATGTTGTTTTTTTTTTAATATAAGTAGATTTTTATATGTTTCCTTATACTAGTCAGTCGGAGGCTATTAAAATTCGCGTTTTTCAAAAATTTTTACAAATTTAAATAATTTTTTATTCAAAATTTTCAATTCCAATATTGGTTTGACAGTCTATTGTCCCAGCAGCTGTGTCGTCGCGTCTACCTATATTCTTCTACCATGGTACAATCATTACAAGGTAGAACAACTTCGAGTTCTTAATATGGCTTAGTTTTTCGTTAAAAAAGCAAAAGTTTATTCTCCCCAAACGCTGTAAATGCTTAATTTGCAACAGAATTGTGGTTGTTTCCCTAAGCGACTCACAAATATATTTTCCTAGATTTGTAATTGTGTACTTTGATTTAATTATGTAAATATTTTAAAAAGTAAAAGGCGAATTGAGTAGGCTTTGAGACTCACCAATCAGGAGAACGATCTCAACTTTAATTAAAATCTTAATTTGTATGGATTTCGCCGCAAGTACATCGACATCGTGCATTGAGATCGTACCCAATTTCAATGTTAACTTCCAAAATTAACATCACGGTTCAATGTTCGGTGACCGACAATTGACTTTAGTTGTGGAAATTAGAGGCAATAACAAGTCTAAGCTATCGCTAGTAGTCGTTAATGGTATCATTAGATCGTCATAACAATTTGTGATTTGAATTATAATTCAATCAATGTAACGCCACGGTACAATAAGAATTGATATTTAATGCAACACAGATTGAACGCGATACACATTTTTCGGTGTGACGCTTGATTGATAGAACAACAGCCACAGGGGAAATGTCAGTGCTTATATATAGAGAGAGAGAGCTCTGTGACTGTCCTCTCGACGAGAAGTCAGACGTGTTCTTTCTGCACACCATTTCATTTATTTTAAATTGCGCTTTGTTGTTTTGTTTGTCAACCACTTCCTTCCTAGGCTTCCGGTCCATTGTGTTCATGCTAAAAAAGTTAATGAGAATAGAGATAAAGGCTATTCTAGTATTAATGGAAACCAAATAGTGTGCATTAGTTCTCGTATTCCTGTATCCAACCTCAAGCTACAAAAATTCTATCTGGAGTAATTTGAATAACCCCAACCCTGGTAATAAGCTGCACTAATACAAATACCACTAAGTAATGAGACCCAAGACTAATTGACTTATTTTTATCATCAAATAAACGAAAGACGTTAGTGGCGAATATAAATTAGTAATGGATGTTAACACTCAAATAAAGGAGACGGAAATGAGCATCAGTAGTACTTCATTGTAAACCCGGAACTAGAATAATGCCATGTTGAAGGGACAGTTAATTGCCATGGTAGAAGAATACAGATAGTCGCTTCGACACAGCTGTTGGGACAATGAACTGTCAACCCGATTGTGGAATAGAAAATGTTGAATAAAAAATTATTGAAATTTGTAAAAATTATTGGGAAATACATACTACAACCACCACCGATTTGCTTCGTATAGGAAAACTTATAAAAGTTTGCTTATTTTTGACAAAACATTTAAAAATTTTTGACATATGTATGGTATTCTTCTACCATGGTTAATTCGTTAGCTCATACGACATTCGCTTGTAAGCATTTACAGTGAGGGATTCAAAGTGGAACTGATTACTGTAACCTAGGGAAATAAAGAGAATCCAAACTATATAGTATTACAAATTTGGACACATTGGGTCTCTTCCAGAACTTGCAGGAATATACTAGTTTTGCATTTTTTCGATATCATAAAGGGTAAAAACTTTAATATTCTTGCAGAGCGAGAACAGACCAATTGATAAAAATATGGCAATTTTTCGCATTTCCTTTTTTGGTGTTGTTGACGATTCTACGGGAAGGAGGTTGTTCGAGGTGTCAATGGACCTAAAATGAGATTTTCAAGTTCAAGGCTCCGCACTTAATTTCCACAAGGCATTTATATATATTTCCCTAGTGAAATTATCCCTATAGCTAGCGATCCACATATAATGGAAAAATATGTTTTAATTCTTGTACGGGGTAGTCTCACATTTGCCTTGGTGAATTGTTTCTTGCAATATTTTGTACACATATTCGATGTATGGCAGGTAACACATCCTTTGAATTCATTGAATCGTATTGGACGACTTTCATTTAATTTCATTGGGTACCAACATTTTTTATTCAATAAATTCTCTATTTAGGGAGGCAAATTCTAAGTGTGGACTGGAGTATACAGGGTATTCAAATTTTAAAACCAAAAGAAATGTTAGGTGGGGAACATTTTCCAAGTGAGGGATTTCAATCATATATTTGAAAAAAACTGCCATCGCACTTCAGCATTGATCTTTCCTTGGACACTTTATGTGGACACACATAATCAGCATTTTGAGAATAGTGCATGGCATTCTGGTCGCACATGTCACGATTTCTTGTCGAAGTCATATTTTTATTGGTTTGTCCTTGCCCTCGGTACCATGTTTGGCTACTGTCTTTCATATTGAAGTTACCGGGAGAACTAATCATGACTAAATTTCCCACCTGAAATTCCTTTTAAAAGTAAACCTCAAAATCACCAAGTGAAACTTTCAGCATCGTCATACCTACCTGGCACTATTAAGATAATGTTGGTGGGAGTGTGTTGGCCCTGGCTAGAATTATGTGCGACAATTTTGTATATGAACTAAATTTTAAATCATATTCCTGCCATGGCTATTCGTACTCGTAACTCATATCCGACAATCTATTATAAAATTTGCAAGTATAATAATACCTCCGTCACTAAGAGGCAGGCGACAGAGAGGGAGAACAATGCAAATCCAGTAAGGAGCGCAAAGAAATGGTTCGTAAATACGTTCCTGCATAGATATGTTGGTAAAGATTTTACATTCGCTGACATTGAGGTATCTCTGTGCCATTGCAATTGAAGAATTCATACTGCAGCAGGTTGTTGCAGTTGAATGGCTAATCCCACGAGACGTGGGGAACCTGGTTCAATCCACGAAAAAAAACCTTAGTATGGAGAAGTTACAACATTGGAAAAATAATTATTTTAATTAATAATAATCTACACATTGACAGAGCCAACGGGGGGATGTTTGGACGGATTTCATCAAGGTGTTGCTAAGGTCAGAGGAACTAAGTTAAACTTAGCAAATCGAGGAAATTTTGTAAACAACGAGATGAGAGGGGTTCGACCTACTCAACTTCGAAAAACCATTTTGTCGCTTTTCAAGCACGCCAATTGATTACTCCCGTGTTTGCGATCCCATCCTGTCAAAATTTTAATTTTAAGTGACTTCAATATCTTCAATCATACCCCTGAAACGACATAGACGACATCTGCTGATCCGATTTTTTTAAAGACATTTATTGAACCACTTAAAAGTACGCCAAATAGGGCTGGGTCCTCCCATAGTTTTCTCTCTTATGGTGACTCAAGACCCATTAGTTTTTACATTTCAAGCCATGACCCACAATGAATCCTAGCAATTTTTGAATTGCCAATTAAAAAACATTTTGAGTTGCTCATTTATATAAAAGGGAGCAATCACAGAAAAAAGTGTGACCAAATTAGTGTTTTGTGATTGAGCCGTTGGCCTTAGGCAGACGCACATAGAGAGAGACGTGTTTTGCGGACGACTGGATACACCTGACAAGTATGTATTGCGATGAAAAAAAAAATAATCCACCAAAACACCCGACATTTGATCCACTGCCTGAACACACAATGTCAGATTATATTACAGCGGTGAAATATGAAGTGTGTGTGTGAGGGCGGGGTCAGGGGGTAAGATGTGGCTGGCCGTTGAAGGAGTGCTAATGAACTCAAATGTCCCACAACTAATTCGTAATTAATTATCAAGTAAGACAGCAATAAACCGACGGAGGGATACACATCAGTCAGATATTTGTAGGCAGAGGCGACATGAAAATACATTAGGGTGGTGCGAAATATTTTGTCAATTATGTTTCAATCTGAACAATCCAGGGAGCAGAAAGATGTAAGAAAAGAGATTAAGTCGAATTCCGAATCGACGTATTTGTTTCGAGAGGATAACATTTCTATCAAATATTGGTGGTTGAATAAATACCAACAAAAGTAAGGACATGTTTTAATGAATAAAGTATCAAAGTTAAGGTACATAAGAGGCATGGCCTTGTTGCTTTCAGCCCACTTTGCTTGAAGTGTAAATGGAAAGAAAGTTCTTTATTTTTTACCAATTAATAATATTTCCAATAAAATAATGACATTTTTCAAACTGTGTAAAAGTGCAACGAATTATTTTAGCAGACCGCATCTGCACCAAAAAGACACGCTTAGTTTTTTCCGTACATTGACGAACCTGACTGATTGTGGGGGAATTCAGTTCAGTCTCTCCGATTACATATAAGTTCTGGAAAAACCACGCAACATTTTTACGATCAAAGTGAGGTTCAGACCAAAATTAAGCCTTCCAAATTGAGGATACCCAACGTCAAATTCAAGAGCCCTCAAGAGTATAATTGGAGAGCGATAATAATAGTATTTATACAGCAAGGCCCCTAGAATTTCAAAAAAAAAAAAATCCCAACCCTTATTTATTTAAATACATTTTGTTTTAATTTTTCATTATTTATTTAATTATCAAATGCTTCACTTAATATTTTGCATAAAAATCGATCTGTTCCAGAAGTGCGAGAATGTAAAAGTTTTTACTATTTGGCCTTTATGATATCGAAAAACAGAGCAAATCAAATCAAATATTGTCAAAGTAACTTGAAATCGGTATGAACTTATGTACAGTGTCCATACATAAATATAATCCATTCAATTTAGGCTGTCCCAAAGCCGTAACATACTCCGATACATTCATTTGAGACATTTGGCCTCTTCTAGAACTTCAAGAACTTCACATTTTCACTGCGATATCCAGTTTTCCCTTTATGATATCGGAACAAATTGCAAAACTAGAAGATTCTTGCAGATTCTGGAACATCCTTTCCCCTTCCAATTTTTACCTATTTCGATATAACCTCAAAACATTTGTGACGGAGGGCAGCTCTGGAGTGCTCTAGGGTATCATATTTTCAAATAGAAAACGAATGCAGTATGATGCATGCTACAATAATTACAAGATATGGCAGAAAGACTAGTTTTTAAAAACACAACCCTGAAGCTAGAGTCGTGTAACTTCAAATTTACCCATATGAATTCTCCGATTCGTATTTTGTACATTTAATCAACCTGTCCTACCTTGCCGTTATTGTATCATGGCATGATGTGACATATGTGCATATGTAGGTTTCCTGTAGGTATTCATGTAAGAACGAAATATTAACAATTATTGCAGACAATTGATTTCCATAACTGAATGTCCGCATACGCAAACACACACATACATTCAGATGCACACATAACATTCATATGTACGTGCATACGTACAGATTGCCATTTTTTGTATCTTTATCTATTCATGACCCTATGTTGGCAACTTTTTATTTATCCATTAGAAATAATTGATCATTTGCAATATGCTGAACGGTAGGCCAGGGGATTTCTCGGCGGGCCGTGTCGCTGTCATGCCAGCCAAAAAGAGCCTTGCCAAAAGACCACAGACGCAGACGTTGTCGACGGTAAACAATGCATCAGCACGAAAGGCCAAAGATGTCATTGCCATGGGGGAACCTGTCACCGTAGCCGTGGTACAAGCATCAGACAACCAAAAGCTGCAGTTTGACAAAATGTCCATCCATTCGGTCAGCTCCGAAGATATATCGGCTTCGAACGGTGGCCAGTGCTGTAGTGCCGCAGCCCGGAATCCGGCTATAAAAACGGGTCGACGCATACAACTTATGCAGGTAAGCACTCGGTCAAACTCTCATATTCCGTATATATCTCGATTAGCATTTAATTTGGATCCTATCGTATGGGAATGTAGACCACAAAGTTTTTAATAAAACGAAAACCAATTTATAAGGATGTAACAACTTTACTCATTGCATATTTTCGTATTTGTTTTGTTTTTGGTTACGATAATAAAATAAATTCTAAACAACTTTTCAATCGATAAAATTTACAGAATAGGTCTACAGTAGGCCAACTGTAAATTTTTGTAAAATAAACAGTGAATGAAGTTGTAAAAAAAGCTCACAGAATAGGGCTACAGGTGTATTTACCACTGTCGTTATGATATCATAACAACATAGTTACCAACTTTAAGTGATTTTAGCCGCTAGGGTAATACTCAACTATTTAAAATGGCCTATAGAATGAACTTTTGAACACAATTTTTTGTTTCCAATTCTTATCTATCGTTTTGTTCTATAATTGTGTTTTCAATATTTAAATGCCTCTGTCATGAGTTGTTACTCTAAATATTAATGCCACATGCCCTTTTCTCAGAATGCATTTTGTCAACATTTATTTTTATACCCTCCACCATTCTATGGAGGGTATATTAGCTTTGTCAATCAGTTTGTAACTCCTCGAAATATTCAATCCTGGATCAGCGTAAAATTCCAAGTCTGTTGTAATCACGCTATATTTCTAACGAATTGAGATAGAAGGCTAAAATTTTGCACACATGCATAGTTTACCAGTAGGTAGGTTAAGTTCGTAAATGGGCCATGTCGATCCACGTTTTCGTATAGCCCCCATATAACGGTACCTTCCGATATTCGGTATTTTCATGATTTTAGCGACATTACTTACCGGAATCGTTTCAAATTTCGCATTGGAAGATCTTAATGGATACTACAACTTATGGCTAAAATTATTCAGAAAAAATTTCACAAGCAGGCCCACGTCTTCGTATAGTCCCCATATAACGGTTTCCATTTAAGTGGTAGTTTTCAGACAGTTAAAAGTATTAAAAGTTCGGCCCGGCCGAACTTAGCTGCTTTTTTACTTGCTTTAAAACGCCTCGAAATCTTTTTGTTTTTTCGTTTCAGATGATTATTTTGCCATTCATACCGATACTGGCACTGATTGTGCAGACATCGATCTCGCTGCACGATGTTCTGGAATATCGAGCTGAGGTGGCTGACATCGAAACACAGGTATGTTGACTCTATTATATACATGTTATGGATGACAGGTACCAGAAACAGTGGATCGGCATATCGCACCTGATCAGATGTTGGTAGATATATTGAGATGTGCGAAGCTTCTGCCAAACCGAATACCAACATCGCTCTCTACGATATATTTGTTTTTATTGTTCTGTTTTCTATTTTGACTTTTATATGGGAAGTATTAAAAGGAGTGGGGCTATATTGTCCCTCTCCGAGCTCTAATTGCTAATGCAGGGAAACGATGCGTGAATTTTTGAAACTTGACTGTTCTACAAAAACATTTGCACTTGCTCTGATCTACATTGTTATAAAACAAGAGGAAAGCTCCCAAGTGTTAACATTTCTTTTATTTTGTATGGTTCTGGATAGGTATTCTTCACCAAAAAAGTTGCATTCGACACTACATACCTGTGTATGTGTTTCCAAGAAAACGTTTTCGTCTGTCTGTCTGTCTGTCTTTCGAGCAGGCCATAGTAATAGAAAAAACGAGGTACGAAACGCATTTCACGAGGACATTATTTCACAGTTGGTAATTAAAATTTATCGCACCAGTTCAATCATCCGACCTGATAACACTGCTGTCAGTTCGAGTTCAATGCGTTCTATTTACATATGTATGTACATACCTACATATGTGTGCGAGATGTCGCCGGTATGAAATGTTACCATCGCAGTCCAACAACCCCCTCCCCGCCCCTACATGGTCAGTAGATGGCATCAGGAATACTTGTGGAAAGGGACATCAATTGCGTGCAAATATTTACACTCGGACTTGCACATCGACATCTTGAGCGCACACACACACACACATGTGTGTGTACATAGTCACATCCTTGATACTTGTATTTGTGTGTGCGTGTGTGTGTGCATGTGCTGAGCCGGTAAAACAGGAAAGGGATAGTTGGGGTAACAAAATACTTTGACCGGGGAGACCAAGATGAACCCTTGTCCTTGGGATCCAGACATTCGGTGGAAAATTTCGTCCAGGTGCGGAGAATGCTTACAGCCCGTGAATGAACCCGTTATTGGTCTAATAGTGATCGGAAGGAGTGTCGACCAAACGTACCCGTACACTCGTATTCCAATCCTGTCTTTGGACTGTTGCATGTCCTACGTATGTATGTACATATGTGTATTGGAACGGCTTCCAGCAACGATTGTTGCAGTAAAAGCTGAAACCTTATGCCATCTTCTGCGTCACGTGCGGACACTTTATCTCCATTTGTGTTTGTGTGTGTGTTTTAGATTAATTTTAGTTTTTATGAATCAAATTGCCGCTCCACCCGACCACGGCGACGCGTTGTCCGCTTAGGCACGAACATAGATAGCTTGGAGTGCAGAGGGTTAATGTTTAATTAGTGAATGACATTTAATTGTAGCGCTGTGTAATCGATTGGAGACGAATATTTCGAGAATCGGCGGTCATTAATTTCAATTTCGAAAATCTTTAATCCTGTAACCTCTGGCGGCTTTGTTATAGGTAACCATTGCCACGGATTTGGGAAAAGTCGTTACTCACCTGCAGTTGGAGAGATCAGAGGTAGCTTTTTATATATTCACAAATGGCAGCAAGGTTCGGTAAGGCGTGCAATCGTGTGAGTGTGTGTGTCTGTCCTCACATCCGGAATTAATTCCATTACAGCTCTAATTTGACCCAGCGTTTCGCTGTCACGGACCAGGCATTGAACAACATGACAACGTGGAGTGAGGTCAGTGTCCCAACGCGTGATGATGACGACGATTATGGGGTTTTACTGAATCGCAGCGAATTCCAAAGCCGTCTCAATGAGTTTAGGTAAATGCCCAAATTACTGAGGTTAACGACGTTTACCGGCCCCCCTCCCCCTACCATTGTGTAAATAAAAGTGATGTGGATATGAGTTCGAGGGGGGAGGGGGTGTGTCGTTGTGCGCCTGTAATGTAATTAATATGTAAATTTTGTAATCCTTCCATGGATTTGCTTGCATGTTTGACGTTTTGTATCTCCCTCACCACCACCACAGGGACAGGGTGCGTACCGAGCCGGAGGATAATTCAATCACCGATGTCATGAATTGGTACACAGCGATTAACAAGGCTCTGCTATACCATCTCTCGGAGCAAATCAAGGAGGCGGACAACAGCGGGGTGTGGAGGTTCGCATTTTGATTGACAACCTGACAAGCTAAACGAGGGACTAAAATGTTGCTTTGTTTTTTGTTTTCGATTTTGACCGTTGCAGGTATCTGGTAGGGTTCAAAAACCTGCTGAAGAGCATCGAGAGCCAAAATATAGCCTCCTCGTTCGGCATCAAATACTATGGTCGGGGATTGCTGGGCTCAGAGGGGTTTGCCTCTTTCATTCGTCACGAGTTCCTGGCCAGGGAACTTATTAACTCCACGCTGAACTATGTGCCCTCCCTGAGGAAGATGTACCTCAACATCACAGAAACGAACACCTACAAAAAAATGAAAAACATGTAAGTATGAATGGGTTCGACACAATAGACCCCGGTCTGATGTTTGTTCTGCCACTAGGAGCACCGTAGTTCTGAAAAATAAACGCCGCAATGTGTCCGACATCCAAAGTGCAATTGAATACTACGACGCAATGCACAACTACACCGACGACCTTAGGATATTGCAAAAGGATCTGCGACAGCAAATCAAGTAAGCCAAAACTATTTTTCTCTTTCTGTCCTTATTTTGAGTTTATGTAACTGTAACCGGTTTTCGCTGCCATAGGAAATACGTGGGGGAAACTCTGAAAGTGGCGGCCAAGAACGAGGCCATTGGCATTTCGATTTTGGTCGTGGTGCTGTGTGTCTCGCCCATAATTATTGTCCTGGTGAAAAATGCCGCAGCTACCATTCAGGTAGGTCAAGCGTTGAACCTCTTTAAAACGGAGGCACATGTCATTCTTTTTATGTGCCTCCGTCTCTATGGATTTTTCAATTGATGCAGGCCATTTTCTATGTTCCATTTAGATGTATGCATTAAATCTGGCAGAAAAGGCTAAGGAGCTGAAGCGGGAGAAACGGAAAAGTGACTCGTTGCTTTTCCAGATGTTACCACCCAGTGTCGCTATGCAATTGAAACAAACACAACAGGTTGGGCGCCATTTGGCAAATAGTTGTGCGCTATGGATCTTTTTAACGTGTCTCTCCCTTTTTTATTTTGCACAGGTTCCAGCGGAACTCTACGAATCGGCAACTGTATATTTCAGTGACATTGTTGGCTTCACGGAAATAGCTGCTCGTTGTACTCCATTGGAGGTATGTATCACTTGCACTTCTAGTGGCTAGTTCGAGAATCGCACACCCAGTATCAATTTGGAGTCATGTACCGCTCCTCAACTTTTTCGTTTGGGCTAAGTGAAACGAGCGTTCAAGTTCACTATAGACATGAGGGGATAAGTGCTTGATTTCTAAGCAAAACCAATTCAGAGCAAGAATAACAGAAAAAGTGTTCATCAGTAAATCTGCTTCCATTGCTGGGATTATCGAACGTTTTAATGTTTTCTGTTGGATCTTCGATGCCTGTGCAAATACCAAAGGTTGTTGTCTTCTTTTGCTTTTTGCACTGATGGTTTGATTGGAGCGGAGGAAGCCAGAAATATTTCCAATCCCAAATATATATATACGTTCTCACACATACATGCATGCCTATATACATATACACATCATATTGGAGGCGATTTATCAATGAATATAAATGATTTTTTCTTTCGTTCGCACGTGACATTGCCGTTCCTTGGTCTACTTTCTTCTGGATACCATGTCATTGGTTGTTGCCTTCGGTATGGCGGGCAGGTTGTTACATTCCTTAATTCAATATATCGGGTATTCGACGAGCGTATCGAATGTTATGACGTTTATAAAGTGGAAACTATAGGCGACTCATATATGGTGGCCTCTGGATTACCGGTTAAGAATGGTAAGTGTTTGTTTGTTTGTTTTGTTGGCCTAAGATGTTTGACACTGTCTTCGTCTGTGGATAGTGGCAAGAGTAGAATATTGTATAGCTCTGGAACCACTCGCACCTGTTGAGTTCAATCGAGTTCAAGAGGGAGGGGAGCTGCCGAAATTTTTACATGGTTCCGAAATACATTTCTACGTACGTCGCTGTACAAAATTATGTTAAAATTCTCTCCTTTTTCTTTTCCCTCCTTCTTGGAATGCAGGCAACAAACACATTACCGAAATAGCAACAATGGCCCTTGATTTGCTGGACGCTTCATCATGTTTCAAGATACCACGTTCCATGGACATTCTACAGATACGATGCGGCGTTCATACGGGCCCCGTCGTTGCTGGCATTGTCGGCACAAAAATGCCGCGTTACTGTCTCTTCGGCGATACCGTAAATACAGCATCCCGGATGGAGTCAACCGGCGAGGCACACAAAATCCACATAACGGAGGAAATGAATGAGGCCCTGATGAGGGTCGGTGGCTTCAAGACGGAACACCGTGGCTGGATTGATGTGAAGGTACGTTTAATTTGTTGTACGTGTGCATCTGGTCTTTTGTATGCATCTTTCTCTCTGCAGGGTAAAGGCCTTATGAGTACCTATTGGTTAACCTGCAAAGATGGGCCCGTCAAAGTCCGGGAGGAAATTGCCTGGTTTGCCGACATGCAGCCGGTCTTTTTGGAGAATCTAAAATTGGATCCCGCCTACAGGAGTAGCAAACTGAAAAAATGAGTCGAATCATTCCAGTGTACGAGAAGTTTGTTTATTATTTTTGATGTGTGTCCCATCGTCCTGGTCCGCCTCCAGCGTTTGCAATTGTATTCACACATCGCAATTTATGAGATTGGGCGTTGGGAGGGAGGTACTGAATTTATTTTTTTTATTTTGGCACATACAAACGCAGCACATTCGAAAGATCTTCCAAACGTATCAATGGTAGTGTGTATGTGTGTTTGTGTGAATGTACATTCGTAAAATAACACGTTGCCACATACAATTACCATTACGCCAATGTCCACAATCCATAGAAATTGTCACCCTATTATTGACGGTGCCAGCCATTGCTGAAATGACGTAAGACAGAAGCATTGCCGTTGGCCACATTAATGATGTGTTAGAGCTTCTGTAGCAATTTCCACGTTTGCTTACACTCCTTCCACCCTTTCACAGCAATCGAAATATGAACTCTAACTCCAGTATTAATGCGTTTACTTTAATTCGAAATAGCCAAACATAAGTTGACATCCAATCGAACATGCTAGACTCCTTTTCAGATCCAGATTGACCCAAAGCGGCAACGATTATAAGTGTGTGAAATTATTTAGTTGTATTTTTGAAGCCAAAACTAATATATGTAAGTGTGGGTATTTTCCACATCAGTGTTGTAATAAAAAATTATAATTCCCGACGATCCCTCGATCAGGGTTACTCTAGAATTAATGTTGTTGGCCTAAATGTTGTTTTGTTTCTTGGACAACATTTTAGTGTATTTTCAGATGATGTAGGGTAAGTAAGGATTACGTAAAACTATTGGACAGCACCTGCTGGAAATAGAACAGTGTTCCAAAAAATGGTTTATCCATGTACCATAGAATAATGAACAAAAAGAAGGCAGCGTATTAGTGAGAGACCAGTTACACCTCATGTTAGGGTCATACAATTATACATAACATTTATTAGGCATGTGTTTTGGCGCTTCAAGCTATATTTAAACTAAGAAGTACCGGTGTACTGGGATATGCTACTTTGTACTACGTACTAGCGTTTTTTATGCATGAAAAAGGATTTTAAGCTTATGAAAATATGCTATAAAAGTGTCAAATGTAAAATATGAAAAAGTCTCTTTACACATGATGCTAACATGATCTGTAAACTGACATCAAATCTGAATAAACATCGAACATCCTTAGTACTTTTTGAGTTTTACTTTTTGAAATTGTTTAGCATTTCTGTTTTTATTACAAATATTTTCTGGTTAAAGCATTAAGTTGAGAAAACATAGAACAAGTTTTTTACTTTTTTACCGAACTTGAACTGAGTCAACCAAAAATGCCTTGTTTTTTACGATGAAGCCAGTTGATGACTAAGACTTGTAAAAACCGCTCTCTATGTACCTGCACCTTTAAGCCAGTAAAAAAGACTTCTTGTGTCCATATCACAAAGTAATTGAAATTTGGTTTGTGACCAGTTTGTTCATCAGTTGTTTTGATTGATTGTTTGTCCGTTTTTAAGGTCCGACAACTCTAATTCTATCTCCAAGCTCCCCATGAATATTCTTGCGATTCCGGTTCAACTTGGACACGAAATTTGTCAAAAACGTCAGACTTTCATACGAGCCTTAGGTCCTATAATACATAAACAACTCAATAAAACTTTCGTCCAAAAATCGGACCTAATATGTATCCAAAATCAGGAGTTTCGGCTCGCTGGGTCGCTGTGTATACATATACAAATTTTATAATGCATTCAGCGTAAAAGTAGGATTCGTTTTGGACAACTGAATTCAAAAGACATGTCATAATGAAAACAAATTTTGTTTGTACACGAATTTATTCTATATATTTATCAAATATAATAAAATATTCTTATTTTCTTCACTTAGCGTACATCAAATACCGGGATGAATCATTTAACAATAATAGTAATAATAAGGGCAATAATTAATTTATAGACGACGTTTTTTACATAATGTTACATTACTGCTATCATCTATAACACCAATGCATATTAGAATGCACTTCAACATAATCAATGGGGGAAACTGGTACCTATCGCAATTGTGCCACAAATACATACTTAGCACAATCAATGAGAAAACTTAAAGTTAAAAAAGTAAGATTAACGATAAAAGACTTAAAAACTACAATATGTTTGTCAATAATGCAGCAGTGAATGCTAACCTAAAGAAAAGTGAGTATACAATTTATTATCATACACTACCTCAAGTGAATTACCTTAAAACAAAAAATATTATCTAAGAATAAGAGCTCTTTTGCTACTCTGCGCTCTTTTGCGAGTGGCAGATTTTTCCCACTTAGTTCATCCATTTCCGACAATTGGGTGCCCCACACATACATGGTATTTTACTGCCATCGTCCTCAATGTCGAATTTGTAGTCGTACGAAAGCTAAATGGAAGAAGAATCAAAACTGAGTACATGTTACGAGTTTCTAAGCAGTCTCAATCAATAAATTACCTCTTCACTGCGATTTATTCTGCGCTTCGCGAAAATAATAATGCGTAACTCACGATCAACTTCCACAATTTCTGTAACGCAGTTTGGATTGCACGAATGGTTTATATAACGGGCCAGACCACCACACAGGGTCGCATCAACAACGCGATCTTCGTCCAAGCGAAACATGTATATGCCGCGGTTCTAAATAAATTAAATAAAATAAAATGGAAAAATTTAAAAGAAAAACATTCAGTTTTATTGGGGTTGGTTTTGTCCGGCTCAAAATGGCATGCTGTTAAATTATGGGATGAGGGTGTAAGGATGAAATATATGAATCAAAAACACTCTTTTAGGAGAATCGTCCCCATTCCAACAACTATTATGTTCTTTACTCAAAAACGACCCAACCAATTTATTTCTTCTATTAATTTACTTAGTTAGATATTTGGATATACTTTCTGCACAATTTTTCTACTTTTTACAAAAGTAGCGACAAATATAGTGAAATATGCCTTATCCAGAAACTACAAGAACGAAAAATTGGCAAAAATCAGCCAACAAAAAGCCGGTGATCATGCTACTACTTTCGTGTAGAAAAAGTAAGCGACAAAATTATGTGTGGTCTATTTTGGGCATCGACACGGAGTTTAAGTAAAAAACTGTACAAGTACTACAATATAGTACTATATTGCAGGTCTGAAACACAATTTTGTATACTCTCCAGAGTATTTATACATACATGAGCAGCTAACAACAACAACAACAATTCAAACTGCAAAATAATATAGCAAAGGAAGCAGCTCGAATATGAACACTGCCTTCAAGAGTGTAGAACTAGACTGACAGCGTCATAGCCTTTACAATATTTTTTGGGTGGTCCCTAGATGACAACTTACCCTTGCTTCGTATTGTTTTTCACGAATTTCCGATACTTCTGATCGTATAACCTCACCAATGTATTCGATTATCATTGTATGTTTTTCCATATCACGGGCAGCGTACAGACCCAATCCTGCTATTTTAGACCTGCAAGGGGCATGTTGAAATTTGACTCAATTTAAAGCGTTTGGTGTATTAGTCATACCTGGCCAAGTACACGTTATTGCGCCACTCCTGCTTCATCTTCTTGTACTGAGAACTTTTCGAATGGACAAATTGCTTGCTGTATGGACATGTAACCTCGCCCGCGGCAGTGGTTGATGGCAGGGCTGCCTGGTGACCTCCCAATGAACTGATAGAACTACATGTTCTCTGGGGATGATGTTTCTTCCAGCCCATTAATTGTCTAAGCTTTGGTTCTGTGCGAGCTGCTCCCGAGGGATTCAAGGCAAGTGGCAGGTCCAGCAAAGGATTGCGGCCATATTTGAAGCGATAGTTAGTTAAAGTCTCAACTCCGGGAAGACTTTCAATGATACGGACTATCGCTGGTTCTGTTAGACCAAACAGATCTTCCCCACTTACAAATTCCGGATAAAGCTTGACTAAGTTGTGAGATCTGCGCATCTCGGCAATCGAATGTAGAACATGTTGCCACACTGCTTTAGGCGAAACATCGCGCAATTCGACGTCAGATTCGGCCTGTTCTTGCACAAGAATTCGGAATTCGGGCTTTCCCTCAACTTCTGCAATGGAGCATATGTAGCGGCATCGTTTGTTCGGCCGGCGCATTGACCAATAGAAACGGATCTGTAAAGCGGGATATGTGCCATTTAAATAATATTACAAGGACAAAAACAAGCAACAATGTACACTTACAATCTTATAACCAATGGGGTAGATGCAGTTCTGGGTATGGAACGCTTCCAACTGATGCGGCAATAGTTGACCCACGTTCAAGAAAATTAGACTTCCTACACGCAGCAAGTTTACCATTTCGGAATGGTGCATTATGGCGGCGACCTGCCGATTTTCGTCGCGCTCAACAAATACTCGCCGGGGCACAGATAACGTTGGCAATTCCTTATCCTTGTCATTGCGCGAAGCATGTGCTTGACAATGGATCGTTTTGTTCTGATAGAATACACACTGATCGCGTATGGCACAAGGTAAATGGAACATGGCACCACATCGTGTCTTGTAGCACTTCACGGTGGCGCCTAATTGCTGGCAAGTGTTACAAGCTTGATTCAGTCCGATCTGTAGTGCCGTATTAAAGTTCATTAGGCCGCCACTGATGGTCTCGTACACATCTGTGGACCATAAAGCACAGTTTAAATGGACCCATTTGTCAACATCATAATTTAAGAGGCGTGATGGTCCATCAGCAACCCCATCGCCAATTTGCGAACACAACACACAGGAACGACGATCTTCAATGGGCTGCTGAATACCACCAGAGTCGGTTGTTGTTGTTACTTGAGATCCTGTTATCGACATTGTAATGTTCATTTTGAAAAGCATGTCACGAATATCTTTCTCAGACATACGTTTGACGGGTGTGGCAGGTTGAAAGCATTTCGCACTGTAGTAGCAATACGATATTTTGTTGACTTTTGCCTCCGATTCGGTGGTCGGTTTTGCGGCCTCCGCGACTTTATCCTTTTTCTCATCCAACATCTGTGAAACATCCGGCTTGATGTCCAGCAAATCTTCCATTAAATCGGCGTCGAAAGCTGGCCCCTCTTGAGACACTAAATCCGTTCCCAATGATGTGGTATTTAAATGCTTTTTTTGACTACTGAGCCGGAACTGTACGAAGCAAACCTTATTGCAGAAATATCTTGGCTGAGTTGGGTGCAATAACTTAGCATGTAGCGAGCTTTTTGTGTTATCGTTAGTGTTTTTCAGACACCGTCCCTTAATAGCACTGCCACATTGCCTACACATCTTTGAGCGACCATTTAATATGTCCTCGATGTGAAGGTTTCTTAGAGCCACTTCGCGATCACTGGACAACTGAGATAGAGGTGATTTGTCCTCGAACTCGGCATCACCACCATCGTCGACCACTTTATATGGTATCGGCGTGTTAATTTGCAAAAGATTTGCCAAATTCTTCAGCACGTCTAAGAGTCGTTCTGCCGATGAAGTCGGTAAGGACAAAATTACGTTTTGACTGTTTTCGTTATTTTTAAAACTAAAAGGAGAAAAAATAAAATGCAATATTCTGATTGGTAATTTTGCGAAATTTCAATGTTCCATCCATGGGTGCTCCCCTATGCATATGGAATGTATAATTAATACTAGCTGCTCTCTCATGCAATCAAGTTATATGTTCTAATACACATACTTACCCCATTCCTTTGTGGTCCATCTCTTCGGCAAAGTCTTTCATAAACATACCACCATCGGCATCATTCTCAAGTGGTTTCAATGGCGTCTTCTTCCGTTTGGTAATTAGGGCCATTGAGTTGACCAAAGGAATAACTGGAGACATGCGTCCCAGTCTCTGCTGGGAACTGCTCATTAGAATCAAGCCCGGAAAGGTTTCCTGAGGAAACTTGTTATTATTGCTAACGATTTCGGGCGTGTCTACAGCTCGTTCGCGATAGGCTTTCATCCAACTATTTAGTTTCTCCGGCTCCGACTTGTACGTAAAGGAAGAAAACTCCTGGTCATAATAATTATTTTGTATGGATGAAGAAGCGCTGGTGTCCTCGTTTGTTTTACGTCCACGGAATTTTTTCATATCATAAAAAGGCACTTTGTTAGGTATGTAAGCCGCACCAAATTCACCCTCCAATTCCTGCTCAAATAGATTACCGCGCTCACTTTGTCGACTTTCTTTTTGGGGTGAATTACTAGAACTGGAGCAATTCCGCCAACCGAACATATTGCACACCCCATAGTTTACATTTAGTTGGGGTTCCAAGACTTGCATTGGCGGCATCTGTCGTAAATGCATCATCAAATTTTCAATAAAGGAGTCATAGTCCTCCTCCAATTTGAGCGATTTTCGCGATCGCTTTTGTTTAGCAGCACTGGCACCAGTGGCTCCTGCTGAAGCATTAACTGTGGAGGAGGTGGAGCTGCCGCCGGCACTCGTTTCTTTGGCATTAGAGTTGGACAACTGTTTACGTTGTTTTTGTTGTTCACGTTTTCTCTTCTTACGGTTATCGCTGTCTTTTGTGACTGGACTCGAGCTTGTTGCCACCGATGTAGGACTATGAGATTGTGATTGCTGCTGAAGTAGTAATTGTTGTTTATTAATAACGTTTACAGGTGGTTGATATTCCCCTGTCGGAGTTGATGCTACTGAATTAGTGGGCGTCGTCGATATGGGACTTGGGGTGGTGTTTTGCTGATGGTTTGTATGATGCGGCTGTTGGGGCATTTGACTTGTGTGTTGATGATGTATTGTATACTGTTGTATAATTGAATTTGGATCCTCTTTTTCCACATTCGATGTCGAGGTGCCTACCTTTGTGCCGTCCTGATGCTGCACATTTTGAGTTTGGGCAAGAAATTGATTGCTAACTTGCTGTACTTGTTGTTGTTGCGCTTGTTGAGTTGGTCGATCCATAGGTTTTTGCTGTAGGCTACAATCTTCTTGATTCGGAGCCGATTTACTGTTTGGCTGCATCCCAGACAATAGTTGATGTGGTAGATTTGAACTTAGGCCCAATGGGTTTGCACTGGAAACTGTCGGCTGTGGGCATAAATTTGCACCAGCGCTGTGTCTGAAAATGCATTGGAAATTTAATTACATTATTTCTTTGTATTAGATATCGCTTTACTCACTTTTCCTTGTTGTCGGGTCCGCTTGTAAAAGTCCTAGATACCGATACGGATTGTTGCTGTTGTTGTTGATGATGATGCTGCTGCGGCATATCGCCTATCTTCTTTATGTCTGGCATATATTTTGTAATTTTCGTCGTTGTTGAACTCTGCGGTGCACTATGACTTGTTTTGAACGTAGTCTGATCAAACGATTGCTGGTGTCGTTGCGCTGGCTCACCACTGCCCTTACCTGTACTTTCGCCAGTTGATTGCAAAGAAAATATTTCTATGCTTTGCTCATTTGACGACTCTGGCAATGTGGGCTTCGACACAAACGAAGTCTCTTTCGAAATTAACGGTGACGATGTGAATTTAGACTTTTCTGGAGGGGTCTGAGACAAGGTCTTCGAAGTTGATATGATTAATGACGGGTTCGGAGCAGAGTTTGTGCTTGAGGAAGATGATTGTGATATTGTTGATACTGAAGATAGAACGACATGTGTCGACGAAACCTTTGTGTGATCATTTACAGATTTCTGAATGGGAGACTGGGCAGTTGATGTTGTCGTCATGGGCGATGATACGACTGTTGAATGCGTACTCGATTCACTAGCAGGAACCGGTGGTATTACAGGCCTCGCCAGCTGCGCCTCTAACGAACTGACAAGTCCCAAACTCGGGGCCCTAACATTTATAACTTTACGTCCTGGCAAGACCGTTGTTGGGGTTGCAGCCGAGTTAGATCGAGCATGTTGACTGTTGTTTTGGCAGTTTATGGGAGTGCTGTTGGTGTTTTGCAGCAATTGCTTCAACAGGACATTATTGCTTTCCTCACTTTTGGGCGCTTGTGGTGCCGAAATGATATGTGATTTTTGCTCGTGTTGGGATGCTGAAATTTTATGAGATTGTTGTTCGGATGATGTTGATGAAGTCGATGGTGTTGGTGGATGTTGCTGTTCACTCGTCGATAATGCATACGATGTTTGGGTTGCAGAGGGTTCGTTCGGCGGATCTTGTGTTGGGTTTTGTTGTTGCGTCTGATGTTGAATTTGTTGTTGTTGTTGTTGGTGTTGAATTTGTTGTTGCTGCTGCTTTTGGATTTGTTGCTGCATTTGATGCTTGTGCAGTAACTGATGTCTTGGCAACAGTTGTTGCCTCTGTTGTAGGTGTTGTTGCGACTGTGCAATCTGCTGGGTCTGAATCTGTTGTATTTGGACCTGCTGTTGTGTTTGATGCTGCTGTTGTATCTGAAGATGGATTTGATGTTGTTGTTGCGAAGTCTGTTGCTGCTGCTGCTGTTGTTGTGCTGACAATAGTTGGTGCTGAACAGAATGTTGATTGGTGGTAGTTTGATGGTGTTCCATCTCTACGGTCTTTTTCTTGTCGTCCTCGTGATCAGTTTTGGTTTTGGAAATCTGAACAAAACTGCCCCCGCTACTGCTGTACAAACCACCAGGTAGCACCTGGATAATTTTGCGGTTTTGGACAACATTTGTGTGAAGTTGTGTGGCCTGTACCTGTGTAGTATGTTGAGTATTTGTGCATTCCTGAGCACTAGTTACAGCATCACCATGTCCCACTGCATCTGCATCGCTTTTTGGGACGGCAGAAGAGTTTACGCTAATCGTTGGTGTCGATGAGCTGGAGACAGAGGCTGTCAAGCTTGGATTGATATTCAAGTTCATCCTTGTTGTTGCATTAGACTTGCTTGGATTATTTGCGGATGTAGTCACACAGAGAGTTGTTTTGGACCCAGCATTTGTGAATACCTGCTGGCCGCTTGAAGTTTTTGTCAGCATAAATGATATGTTTCGGGGAATACTGGTTGAAACCGTATTGCCCCCACCCGTTGTCGACGTGGAGTTAATACTTGAAGAGTTCACGTTTGCAAATTGCGACTTTGTTAGTATTAATTTCTGTTGGCCACTTGCTGCGTCAGCCATACTTAAGGACATGGTTGACAAATTTCCGGATGTTGTTACAAGCTGTGGTGAGTTCTGTCTAACTATGCTTATTGTAGGTCCAATATTTATTCTTTGTGTTGTTTGAGACGACTGCGTTTGAAGTTGATCCACTGTATCCACGTGACCGCCAGTAGTAGAGGATCTAAGGCCGCTAGATGTATGAACCACTTTTACTCCCACTGGCAGGAAATCGGCTGAAACAAAGGACGGGCCGCAGTTATCAGATCCGGCTGCAGAACTCTTCATAACTTGGGTTTTTTCCGTAACTAAAGTGGGTTGCTCTGTCGTGTTACCTGTTGCAGACAGCGTAGAAGATTGTGTGGGCAGAACTTCCTCAGAGTTCGAATTTGATGGTGAGGATTTCAAAATCGATCCCGGTGTCATCTCCTTTACAAGTGCGTGCTGTTGCTTTTTGTGTGGTGATGAAGATTGGCTCTGTAATACTGACGTTGATTGTTGTGGAATCTGCTGTAAATCAGTTTTATTGGATGTTATTGTGACAACACCTGACGACTGTTGCAACAATGTAGGCTTGTTCTGCTGTACTGTTTGAAATTGTAGGGGAATCTTTTTGCTTACCACCTTAGCTTGGACAATTTTCGCCGAGGAAACAGGCTTAATTTGAAGTTGTGATAATGACACGTAGGTGGTTTGACTTCCTTTTTGGCCCCGCTTAATATTCAAAAATTTGCTCAACTGTGCTTGAGGCGATTGCCCGGCACTAGTCTGTATGGTATGGATAACACTTTTAGAACTTTCTGATGAACTTTGAGGTGAGCTGAGTGGCTTAAGTAAAGGCACAGATATTGTTGTATTTCCAATGGATACTTTGGCTTCAGGCAATAATTTTTTCGAAGACACCACCAACGATTGGTTTTTTATGGTTGCACCCTGAAGACTTTTTATGTTCATGCTTTCCCCAGTGGGACCACCAACATTACTCACGGAGCATACCCGACTATATGTAAATGTGTTTTGGGGGCTATTAGATGTGCTTGAAACAGCTAGTAAAAGCTGTTCCGGCTTCTTATCCGTCCCTGAAAGCATTTGTATCTTGCCCGATGCCGATAGGTCGCAATTGGTAGTGATTAATTTCAAGTCAATGCCATCCCCAAAACTCTTTTTGGCTGCCTCTGCAATACCGATTTGCAACCGTTTTGGTGTCTGCTTGCCACTAATACCAGTTATATATGAGGAACTTGCTGTTCCTCCTGGGTCACCTTCTATATGTACAACCCGTTCCTCCACGCCCACATCATTATTTTCACTAAGTTTATTCGAGACTGGAGTTTGTTTGCGGATAAGTAACATTTCCTCACCACCGCCGCCAGACGTAGAGTACAATTTCGCACTGTTTTCCGCACCTCCACAACTCTCTTCACTGAAAGCACCAGCACTTGCGCTATCTTCGACTATTAATTGGTATTGCTGGTGCTGCGCGGTGACACTGTTGTCGCCGCTGATTATTTTCCTGGTTTTTAATTTCTTTGTTGTTGAATCTGGTCCAGATCCAATAGCTATAACACCGCCCGATGCCTGCTGTGGTACATTCGCAGATGTCGCCAGGATATTACTACTCCCACTCTTTTCCAATCGCATTTTCTTACTTTCATCATCGTGGCTTTCGTTAGAAGATCTCTTGATTGTATTCGATGCTGTTACCTTAAACGTTCCGCCATATTTATCAAAATCTGTCGTCGTGGGTTGATGCGACATTTTAATGTGAGGCTAAGCTTCAATTGTTCTATCTTTTATTTTATTTATTGTTTTAATTATTTTTTAACTATTTGTTTCTTTTTTCACTCTTAGCCAGAGATCAGAGCTAATACTCGCCACATCGCCGGCGATGTAACACCGTCTGTTGTCATTGGAGACGGCGGTGAACGCTATACTTATGACGGCGTTCTACAACAAACAGTAGATGCGTTCCGTTCTCTCTTCAACAATACAACAATCGTAACAACAACCACATACAAATTTGTTTTTGTACGTAGTACAAGTGTCAGAGTTAAGTGTCCAAAAATGTAAACAAAATAATTAATTTTCAATAAATTATTTTAATTTCAAAAATATAAATTTTGGGAATTTGGATTATTAAATTGAAATGCAGAAGAATAGTTCTTAAAATATTTAATTTTAATGCTTTCACATCATTCCCCTGAATGTATAGTTGTTAGCTATTGGTCCTAATCTCTCAACACTTCAAGCAATCGCTAGAAAATTGGGAAAAGGCAACATCCCTTTCAAGTTGAAACCAAACAGCACATATACATAAAGTATTCTACATTTTGCAATTTTAGGAAATATGAAATATGCGAATATATTATCTAACGTAGTGTCGATGTTTCTTAGCCATAAAAAAGTTTCCGAACCATCGCCTTTGCCGTTATCTTAAGTACAACGGCGTTTTTTTTTTCTATTATTAGGAAAAAAATATGTCCACATTGCGCTGCAGTGAAATTTTATATCAAAAAAGGGTATACCTATTGTATATCAACAAATGGAATTAAATCACAAAACATCATATCGAGTTTGACGCTAGTATTACTACAGAGTCAAGTCAGCAGGGACTTGCTGTTACCTGTAATAATTATACCATGCGTAGAGGCATGAAATCTACAGCTTAAATCCACAGGATTTTCAAACATCTAACTAAAAGGATTTTTATTTTAATTTATTCACAAGAGTATAAAAAGAGAGTCACATCTTAAAAAAATAGTTTGAAAAATAACTCATTTTAGGTTATCGATTCAAATATGACTTCCCCAATTAAACACTTTGCTAGGAGAAAAAGTGATTTTCAAGAAAAAAATGGCGTGGCAGCACTTTGTTAATAATTCGTTTTGTCAATTGAGAAACAATTAAAAGTTACGATTTATTTTAAATAAAAATATATAAAATGTGTATTTGGTAATGTTTTGAAATTTCCATAGAGGACCGTAAGTACGGAATTATTTCCACTTTCGGTCGGAATTTGATATTGTGACATGCCCAATAGCAAAATCAGAGCTGCTGATCTAGAAAAAATTAAAGTTGTCGTTTTTTGCCTCAGAAATGACAAAATGTCACACATTTCACTAAAGTAAAGGCATTGTCAGTCAGAAGGAGTTTTAAGTAAGTGCTGTTACTTTTATTATCCATGTAAATTTCTGTGTGTATATAAAAAATTGCCATTTCACATATGACTCATAATTGTTGCCATCACACACTTGCATATGTTTTTTTTTATTTTCTTTGTTTACGTAGCGATCATATTGTATTTTATAAAAACTTGAAATACTTTATGGACAAAATATTAGCGCAAACATTTTCGATTAAATTTAATTTTCCGATGAAAAGTGCTCTCTGTGATCGAATGAAATAATGAATACAAGAATTTGCATCAACGTTTGGGAACATTGATTTCTTGTACGTTTTCTTATACAGCACCAATCAGATGTTGCAATGATATGCATTATTCAGCAAATTTTAATAATTTTTCATTAAATTTCTTCCATTTCAAAATTGGTTTGACAATTCGGTGTCCCAGCAACTGTGTTGCTGCTACTACCAGTATTATTCTAAAATGTTATGTACCATACTCGATACTCGATATGTGCTACTTTTTACATATAGAAAATTACATATCTAAAAACATCTCGTGTGATGGAACCTTAATATAAGGAACAATACCGCGTAAACTCACAAATATGACACAATAACAAGGTGTTCTGCTATTTATAAAAAATAGATTTAATGTCAAATTTGGTTTACATTGTTTGTTCTGCGATTTCAATTACAATAATGCCTTTTTACATTAAACTGATTAAAATTGATAATAATGATTAATACAATAGTAGATTAGATTTACGAAATCCACCCGATCTCAAATGTCAATTCAATAGCGTATAAGTCAAATAATATCCATTGGATTTATGAATACGACTTGTGTGACGTATATGCAGAGAATTGACAATTTAAATCGAGTGGATTTAGTAATCTAAAGGTTCTCTAAGTTCGTCTGTTGAAATTAATATTCATACCATGCATAATAGACTGCAGGATACCAAAATTGTTTGCGTTTCGGGATGAAACCAAACAAAACCACTTGTTAGGGTTTGTCATCAGTCAATTTGAAGTTACAAGACCGTAAGTTCCGAGTTGTGTTTTTCTTCTTCTAATCATTGTACCATGGGCCTAGTATTATGTCCACCTGCCAAACCTGCTAACTACCAAATGTAATGTCAAAATGCATTATTGTGATTGAAATCACAGTACAAAATACGAACAAATATATTTACCATGCATATATACAATAATGGTGGCAATCAAACGATCAATCATGGTAGAAGAAAATAGGTAGACGCATCGACGCAGCTGCTGAGACAATGAAATGTCAAACCAATTTTGGAATTGAAAATGTTGAATGAAATTTTTTTTAAATTTGTAAAAAATGTTGAAAAAGGCAATTTATAATAACCTCCGAATGATGTCGTATAAGAAAACATATAAAAAGCTACTTATATTTGAAAATAAATTAAAAAAAATTTGACATATCAATGCTCCCAAGCGTTGATGCATCTACCTGTATTTTTCTACCATGCGATCAATGCTATGTGCATGTACGTTTACATGCAAAATCTCTCCGCGGTTAATCCTGATACTTGACCAGTCACAAACATTTTAAAGTACGTTTGGTTTCAGATTTTTTGCGCTTGGTCAATTACCAGGGTCATCCCGGGTAACGATTTTGTAGGCAAACGTACTTTTATTTTGATCATGCTTTATATATTGCTGCCTTATTTCCTTACCAAGGATCTGCCTTTTTCTTTCTTTTGATAATCAATATATTGAAGAAATATCTAGTTTTATACTAGGAATGAATACGAATTCCAATCCAAAATTAAGAAGGTAAATTCATTTCAAATAAGCATACCCATCTCGGCATTTCCTGTAATTTACCTCGTCAAATTTCACTGCATAAAAACTAGGTTTCCATCTCTGATTTATGTATTTACAATGGATTTATAAATACATATTTTGACAATGAAATGTTGTCAAACAAATAATTTTGAAAAAATTGTAAAAATATGACTGCATAACTTTACCCTTTTGATTCCACAATGGCGAATTCCTTCACCAAAAAAAGAAAATACATATATCTCAATTAATTTTGCCTTAATACACTTGTATATGGCCCCTCCTAATGCTCGACGTGCCATACAAAAATACTCACCTTCCATACTATGGTAGCATGTTCTGTATGCCAGTACACTCAAGTTCATATCTTCACGCTAACCAAATAAAATCAATATATGCTCTGTTCCAGAACCTGTAAGAATCTTATAGTTTTGCAATTTTTCTCGATATCATAAAGGAAAACTCGGTTATCATAGTAAAAAGATTAACATTCTTGCAGTTTTGGAAAAGACCAATAAATGTTTAAATATTATTGCAAACGCAACATGGCGTGCTCACCCCGATATGTCTTAGAAAATTTAGAACATTTACTACACCCCTTCTCAAAATGAAATCAGATCATGTTTTTTTTTTTTTTTTGTAAATTTTTATTCGTAATGAGAATCTACTTTTTCCACAATATTTCATTTTTCTTTTGCAGAGCCGATTATCTCACGATTTGTAGGTATTTAGGCGTTTCATTTCGAACTTGAACCCTTATATTTGAATTAAGTTGCATTGATGCATAGCTAGCTCTTACAAATCTAGTATTTTCTTTAATTTTATTTTTGAATTTCACATACAAGACAACAATTAAATTAACATTGTAATTTTAATCTTATGTAAAGGTATTGGTTAGTTGTTTTCTTTTATTTTTTGCTTACTCAATGTCACGAATTATGCATTTCCAAGACCTGTGATGACATAAAAACACATCAGCGAACAATTATGGGTGAAATTTGTGATCCGATCCAATATAATGTGTAGTTCTTCACAAACATTGCACGATCAGTATGCGGACACTTTTTCGAAACATGAAGTCTAGTTCGAAATTTAAACGTGGAAAAGTTCCCGCAAACTGGAATACATACATTGTTTACGTCCGAACTTCCTTAAATACATGGCATAGGTATATGTTTGTATTGTGTGTATCTTTCTGCTAGCTGCAATTTAAGAGTGTTTTGCGTGTGTGTGTATGTGTTAATGCTTTGTGTTTATTCCCACATAATATGTATGTATGAATGTAGTATGTATGTGTAGTATAATGAATTTATTTTTGATGGAGAAAATGTCCAGCACTTTCATGTTTTTGGTTGTTGTTTTAATTGATTTAAAATAGCTGCTTTCTTTTTCAGATATTTTATCTATTATGTGGAAGAAAGCGACTGAGACTTTCTTTTACACAATTTACAATTAATAAATTCCATTTATAGTTTTTCTCATACTTAAATTAAAAAAAAAATAACATGCACAAGTGTCAATGAATTTAGTTATTACACATTTTCTGTGTTCTGCCGTATAACACAAAGATTGGCTGGCTACAGCATGATTTCATGTAAGGTTGGTTAATGCAGGGATTGTACGTTATACCTATATGAAAGTGTGTTCAAATTATATTATAAAAGGTATATCGAAAAATTGCACCTCCGATCTCCGATCAAGTGATTGTTCTTCGAAGAACCACATCAGTTGGACTTCAGAAGTTGTACAATTTTATAATTATAGGTATATCACTATCTTTTCTAAGGGTAGGTATATTTAATAAGCTCGTGTCAGTGGAGTTAGGAATTTAAAAAAATAAAATAAAAAGAAAATATGTTTACATAAAAATGTTAGAATTTTCTACTAAAAGAACATCGTAAAACCTTCCAACCCCTGTTTTGATTTAGAAATTAAATGTATTGCTTTTATAGAGGGATTATTTAGATAATCATTTTCAATTATACTACTAATGATATATGCATGTATATAAATAGCTATTTTTAATGTTTTCCTTGAATTGATTGTGCTAACGTGTTTTTGGGTATATTTTTTTTTTTTTCTTTTAAAGATTTATGTTGTGTTCCCGTAATTATTTTTAAAGAAGATTAAATATGTATGTTTCACAATTGGTTTCGAAGTTTGTTTTTTACAAACATTTCCTTTTAATATTAACACAAAAATTGTTGTGTTTTATTAGTATAATAACTATTATTTTTGATTTTTTTGTTTGTTTTGTAATGGGGTTTATTCAATTTTTTAAAGTGAGCTTTTATGAATTTTTCATTGGTTTAAGTTTAAAGGGCCTATTAACATCTAACTACAATTTTCACAATGTCTTAAAACATTTATACATGACGTAGCTTCTTACTCGTTACTAAACAATTGCCAAAATTATTGTATTTTAAATCGACGAAACTGTTTCGAATTAACGCGGTTTTCGTAAAAACCAACTTAAATGAACTTCAACATATAAATGTTGGCTTCTTTGTGATTCTAAATGACAAAAGGTGATTATAAACGTATATGGCCTTGTTTTTACTGTTTTACTGCTTAGACAAACTAATGAATTTCTCTCCGGAAAGATATGGTAATTTGTGCCTAGATAAGGACAATGCGAAATTGTACTTATAAAAATAAGCTCAGTGTGTTGTTCCATTGTTCTATCATATTGAAAAAGGCTTTTCATATTCAATTTAAACGGGGCAAACACACCATAATTTGAAAATCATATTTTGTTGACCGCAATTGTAAATCGCATTTCTTAAGGACTGAAATAATAATAATAATATATACAGGATTGTTTCAATTCAAATTTAAAGGGTATATACAAGCTTTATTAGGTATTCCATTTAACGGTTAATACTTTGGAATCCAGACATACGTCGTGTTGTTGCTTCGACAAAGATATTTCATATGAACATTTTGCTATTATCTTTAAAAATGCCTGTCTAGTCGTTCCTATCTATATTTTTTTATTAATATTAGCAACTAGTTGTCACCCTTTTGCTTAGAAAAATTCTAAAGGATCAAAGCGAACGCAAACATTAATATTTGATTTGAAAGCACCTGACACCTGGTAGAAGTCGTACCATTAATTGGGGGCCTTTTTCATCGCTTGATCTATGAATTGTGGTTGTGTGTGTGTGTGTTTTTTTTTTTAATTTATGAACATTTAACTAAATATGACCTAAAAGGAAGTTTTTAAAACAAGTTCATGCCAATATTGGCATATTTGCTACGGCAGCAAACAGATAATAATACAATTATACAGATGAATAAATAGTTGGTGTCGAATTTCTCGAAGTATGATCTTAATGTATGTATAAGTATATCAGAATTCACCTAATCGATCCCTAATTAAGTTGACATTAAAAGTCGTACATATTCATGGGAATATGAAAAAGTTTTTGAAACTTGACTTGATCCAAAAGTCAAGGAACTATTCTATTATATAGATTTCATTTGAGCTTGGGACTTTTGGGATTTCGGGGTTTTTGATGGATTTGTGTTCAGAAAATCGTCCAAGGCGAATATGTTTATACTATGCAATAATTTTCCAAAATGTACTTCTTAAAATTACGTTGTTGTAGCCTTTAAATTCTTCTTATGCAGTATATTGCTAAAAAGGAGTTGCTTTTAATTGTGTTGCTTCGCCGCTCACGTTGTACATGTGTGTACGTTTGCCTCATCAATCGATTGGATATACGCTACTTCTTATTAAAGTATAATTATCATGAATTGTGCTTACAGTTACTGTTCGTCAGTTTTTGCTTTCCGCTTAAAGTTTTGTTTCTGTTTCTATTTCTGATTTTGTTTTTTTTTTTTTTTCTTCGTCTCTTTCACTTTTAATATATGGGCCTGTAGCGTATGTAGATAGTAGTTGGATGTTTTGGTGTGAATTTGCCTCTTTGTTATTTTGTTGTTGGTCTTAACACTGGACTTAAAAGGAATTTCTTTGGATACTTCCCAGGACTATCCAATGTTTGTGCAGTGTATTTGTGTTAAGTGTATGTTCTTGAACTGGGTTTGTAACTTTGCAGCATCAGACTTTTTATCGTGTGTCGGTAATGTTATTTTTACTGCCGAAGATTTTAATTAGCTGGGTCTCGTAATCGTCAATGTTTCGCTTCATCAATTCCATACATGGACCGAGCAAACGTTCGAACGCTTCAACTTCGAGGACTGTGGAGATATAAAAAAAAAACGAATTTAGGTCATTTAACATGTCCCAAAATGTCATACACACATAATATACGAGAATACATGCCGTCTAGTTAAAAATAAAGTTATGTACATGCAAACACATTCACACACATTTATTTACCACATAATCATGCAAAATGAGGCATACGTGTAAACGCTATGCTGTTTATCCTTAAAATAAATCAAAAACCAAAAAAAAAAACATGATATGATATATATAATCTATAAAAAGGTTGCGCCAGTACCATTTGTGTCTCGGTTTAACTATGAGTACCTTATTATTTAGGTTTAGACATAATTTTTGAACTTGTCTCTAAACTGGGCACAATCAACAACTTTGCAAAAAATATGCGTTGTAACAGATATATTTTCTAGAACGAACAAAGTGTTCTCCTTTTTTTGTTTTGTTCATGCAAGCAGTAACCTATTTTTTGTATAATTTCAACACGATGTACAATTTAGTAATTTTATACCTGACACCTCACTGTGTTCCTTTTAATGATCTTCACAGAATCACTTTCTGAATCAATTTATGCATATTCTTCCGTCTGTCTGTCCATGTATTTTTGTATACAAAGTACAGGTCGCAGTTATTGTCTGATTGAGATGAATTTTTTCACAAATCATTTGTTTGGCCCAAGGACGCCCCCTATTTGCTATTATTTGATATAGCTAGTGTCGTCCGACTTTATAAGTACTGTGCACCAAATGCGTAATATCGGTCCGAATAAAATAAATTTTAGCACGGCAAGGCTCAGTCCTGAAGTAGCTCCCATATATATTTTCGTTCAATTTAAATTTTATTGTGCGCCATATTTCCGATCGAGTTTAGCCCAAGCAAGCATTTAAAAATTGGTTAAAATCGGTTCAGATATAGCTATAGCTCTCATATATATGTTTTCATCAGATTTATTCGTACTATGCCCTCCCAAGCAGTGATATTTGGTGCCAGACATCAGGTACAGCTCCGTAATACTCCGCCAAATTGGATCGCGATCGGTTTAAATTTGGATATAGCTCTCATATATATCTCTACCCGATTTGACATTAATTGTGCACCATATGATTAATATTAGCGTAAATAGAAGGTTTTTCGTTCGATTTCAAGCATACTGTTAGGTATAGTATTAGCCCAAATCAAAAATCAAGTGTGTTACATTCCGGTTCAAATATAGCTATAGCTCAATTCCGATTTTATAACAAAGACACCCAAATCCGTATAATACACTCCATAACAAGGATTTCCAGTACAAGAGATCAGTTCAGATTTGAATATGTGTACCATATATATTTCCCTATAATTCGATGTTAATAATATATCAATTTGATTTTATATTTAAGTATTCTCAAAGTCATAACCTGCACTCCATGGCAACGATATTTGGTACGAGGGGTCGTATACAACATAAATTTACCTCAGACAAGTTTAGTGGAAATCGATTAAGATATAGTTTTTGTAGTTTGGTTTTAAACTATTTCAAATATATACACCGCTCTAAGGCGCAATTAATATTTTATATTGATTTTAATTTCATTTTCAGGAGTTTTCTATGTAACGAACCGTTTTGTGAAGAGCTCGTATTAACATTTTTCATATGTTTATGATCCCGCTTTGTACGTGTTTCTGTCGGATGTGTAAGTAGGTTAGTTGTCTATTCCAAATCCTAATGTACACAATTTTTATGATGACCATCGGGCACGGAACGTTATGGCGAACCACGCACAATTGCAGTGTTAACAATATTTGGCTCGTGTAATAGCTAGTAGACAACAATTGCTCATATTTACAATGATTGGAAAAATACACATGGCTTCCAAATATATGAAATAAAAAATTATGTAAAATAAACCTTCACCGACCGGTGGGACTTGTTAACACACAACTATTAGTTCTTCCACTATTCGTTTATCCAAGTCAGCCATACATCAAATATAAGACAGATGAAGTTTTTGTCACGATACACATTACCGGAGCAGCGCATGCTCTGATTCCGGGTTTAAGCGTGTTTTTTTTTTTTTTGTACAGAATGGGGGAAAGTCGTTGAATTTCATCTTACCATACCTTTAATTTTCGAGGTTCTCCTCTTTAGACCAGTTTTCGTATTCAAACCTAGTGTTTGTGTGTTGGTTTTTTTCTTTTCTTCCAAATTTATTGAGCAATTTCAAAAATAAACATGATCGTTTAGGAAATTTAGATATTCTTTAACTAGATACTCGATTTCAAAGTGTTTGTCTTGCCAGTTGCATTAATTGGCGTTCATATTCTCCCACCCGGGTTTTCAGTACATCCTTTAGAAACCCTAAAATTCGTTGGAACGCATCGGTTTCCAAAACTTTAATGGTAAAAGGCAACGATCGAAATATTATTTTTTCACTTTTTTTTTTAATTTGCTATCATAAAAACAAAAGGACAGATCTACTAAAAATTCTTGAAATACGAAACTACACAGAATGCAAGCGTTTATAAATGTAATTCTTCTAAGCCATTCAATTCCGTGAAATATGAACGCAAATCGTCGTCTAAATAACGGTATTCACTAATGGCGCGTTTAAGCAATTTCGTACATGGTCCCAAAAGACGTTCAAAACATTCAGTATCTAAAACTACGTAATGAACCAATGTTTTGGAAAAAAAAAATAAACAAACAAACATTTCGCGAAACGAGAAACAATGTATGAGTGGCAGTAATGTTGTTTCATGGAGAAAAGAAAAACGGTGTGTTAAAATCAAACAATGGGAACGAAACAAAAGAAAAAATAAAAATTATTAAAACAAGACATAATGTAAATAAGAACGAAATCAACAAAATCTATCAACTAAGGAAACGGGAGGCTATATGTTGCCATTCTCTCAGATCTACGGTAAATTGAAAGGCCCCAAATGACGACTGTACTTACATGCAACCTTAACATCATCGCTTGCAGCGTACACGGATGCTGCTCGTGGACGGTGCGTCACCAAGGCCAGCTCTCCAAAGTATGCACCCTTTCCCAATTTGGAAATTTCAATCTCAGAACCATCTTGATCCATTTTAATAACAACTGTTCCTTCTTCTATGAAATACATTCCATCGGCAACATCTCCTGGAAATCACAATGTATAAAGAAAAAATAATTGAGAAAGTTTTCTTGACACCCATCGAAATTGTACCACGGCATTGAGTTTGATTGATATCCTTATACATACCCTGCTTTATGATTCTGTCGTTTGTATTGAAGCGTTTGGTTACCAAAGCATCAGCTAAATTCATACGTTCATAGCTCTGTAAAAAACGCACCACAACAGATTACATGAAAGCGCACATCTTATTCAAAATATTAACAAACCTGCAGCGTCTTCAGCATTGGTACACTGTCCAGTAACGATTCATACATTTTTCTTTTCTTGAAGGCAGATTTAAGCAATATACGTCGGAAGGTTTGACGATCCATAGCCCACAGCAAACCTTCAGATTCGGCTTGTATAGTGGCAGCTCTGCACAAACACATAAAGGTATTCAAATATTTCATTATTAACAACGGTCAAACGATCAAGTTCTTTCCAACTCACCTGGGCATATTGTACAGGAGAGCCAATTCACCGAATATACCACTGTTAGTGTATGTGTGAACGTGATTGTCATTTACGATTACTTTGTAAACGCCCCTGCAAGGAAAGAAAATCTTAGAAAAATCTTCGACTAAGGCCCCATAATGATTGGACCAGCTTTTAAGTTTAGAATGGCCATTGATATGAATGCATGGAGCTATATGGTGTCAGTGAACAATGACCGCGCACATTTTTTATTTAAGAATATGCATGGATCTATATGGTGTCAGTGAACAATGACCGCGCACATTTTTTATTTAAGAATAAGAAGAACAAATGTTTCACAATGTTCTCATTGGCACTTGAAATTAACTTACAAGAATTAACGCGATCTTACGACACGAATCGTAATCCGTATTTAGTCACTTTATCCATTTTCTAGATTTTTAATTTTGTTTCTCGACGTTTGTGCGAATTGGAATCCGTAGATAAGAAGTATACTATGAATTGAAGTATTAGCACATTCGAATTCTTTTGGAATGTTCATAAAACGTCTATTTGAGTTTAAACCAAGTACGAACATGGCCTACTTTTGACAACATTTTGATTATACACTTAGTAATAGTTGACAGTAAACTTAATTGTCAGATGGTCTTACTGGCCGACCTTATATAGGCCATGTTTGTATTTATATGAATTCGACGCTATATAAGTTGGACCAGTAAGCCCATCAGACAACTGAGTTTACTGGATAGATTTTAAAAATTACCCTTGTAAATGTTGAAATTGTTAAACTTTGAAATTTTGTACGTTCGTTTCAATAGTGCGGTGAAAAAAGTAGACTGAGTAAGATCTTAAAAATATTAAAATTTGAAATTTTGGACGTTCCACGTATTCATATACATACATGCGTCGTGCATGCGTAATATATCCATTTTTAGGAATTCGTTGTTCAGAAGGGCTTTTAAAAATGTTTTTTTTTTTTCGATCAGAAAATGTTGTGTGTGGAATTATATAATTTAGGATCGAACAAGGAATAGATAGCGAATATCGTGCAATGTGAACTTAGCATTGCAGTGCATACTAGAAATTCCATTGTGCACATTTTATTTAAAAAGTAAACATTCATTCATTTATATACGTACGATTCAATAACGTAGAAATTGTCACCGTCATCTCCTTGACGAATGATATTTTCGCCAGGCGAAACCCTTCTCTCAAACATGGCATCTAAAACTTGGTTCATCTAAATTGGAAACAAATGACAAGCAATGTGAAATAATGGAACTTTGTAGTGGAAAGACATTATATCATACCTGTTCCTTTTCCAGGGAACGGAATAGCAAAACATTCTTGACGGACTCGATTAGGCGCGAACGCTGTTCATCTGATTTCGGGAACACAGCGGTTGCCCCCTCATCATCATCGGCGTCGTTTTCAGGATCATATGCCTCAGCAAAAACAGATTTGCGTCTGTTGGAAAAGCGTGGAACAACAGGTTCTGAAACCAAGCAAAGTAAAAAAGAAATTAAACCACAAAAAGTATTCAATAGTATATTGGGAAGTAGACTTTCGACGTGACTATATGTTCCTTACATACTTCCAATATTGCAAACAAATCTTCATAGTAATCAACCAAATGCATTTATATGCTAATTATTTCTGCTACACTGTGCTTTCATCAAATGTTACCGTATATATTTAAATCAAATCAATTTTACTTCAAGCCTTATCTCCTATTTCCATATAATTTATATAACATTGTGGAACATGGCTGCTTTATTATTTGCAACTTCATTTCATAAATTTGATTTTATACTGCAGTATGCAGCCCTTTAAGACCGAAGGCTGACTAGTATTGGGAATAAAATAAAGAAGGGCAAAACTGGGGAGAGGCCGACTGTATAATACCTTACACCACAATGTATATATTAACTAGTCCAAACTGTGACAACAACATGTTTAAATTGCAAATAAGTATAAAGTAAATAATACAAATTACGATCCTTATTGATGGTTTTACCGATTTCTACTAAATTTAATGAAAGTACCAGTTCTATGTTACCGCTCATAACAAATAGACCTATATAGTGAATAAAAAGGCTTAAATTCAAAAATCGGTTGAAACATTGGAATCGATTGGTCCAAATTTGTCAGACTTTATTTTACTTCTATATGCTGACAACTGTATGTCAATCATATGGTAAAGCCCGACATCATATCATTCTCCTTACAGTTTTCCCGACAAGCTTTAAACTATGAAATGTATTCTTCATTCATTCATGGAATTTGAGCGTACGACGTGCCACATTTCACATTCTGTGCGTAGACGTCAATTTAAATTGCTTGAATATTTCTCGTATACATCAACTTAAAAATTTACAGTTCATAGTTCAACCGTTACGAAGTTGTTTTCTTGCTTACCAGCTAAAAGTGATGCTGCAACTTGTGACGTCATGGTCCTTATTTGAATTTGGTTCTATTTGATTTTCACTGGAGACTTCATTGAATAGAAATATAATTTGGGACGAAGAGTTTTGAGGGCATCTTAAACAGCTATATACGAGGCGGTCTTTAGAAACCCCAGATAGTAATTTCATTTATTTTTTCTATATGTTTTGTTGGAACCAATAAGTATCACAACTAGCGGAAAAACTACAAATGTGTACTCCACAATAAATATATAAAAAACAAAACTATATAACACTTTCAAAGTTTTATTTATTGCCTATGGATACACAGCCGTTTACCCTCTACACATAGTACAACATTGGAAAACATTAGTAAACAAATGGCAATCAATTTTATTCTGAACGAATGAGGAGGAATACGACTACCAAGCAAGTTAACGATGTTGAATGATAACTGGTATCTGGTATGGAATACAATTTTGAATACATGTCATTTCATAATGGCCTTTTTACCCCTTCTTTTAATGACACTGTCCCATCCACGTGTGACACGAAATGCTTTTTCTTTTCCTAGGCAGATAGGGACATTGTATTATTGGAATGAAAATCTTATATTTAGACAAATTTGACAAAAACATTGTCTTATTTGGTCTGACGTAAGATATGGACTTTGTGTATTTGGGTAATATGGCACACGCTAAACACATTGACGAAACATTAATTGAAATGCCTAATTTTAAATGTTGAGTGCAAATAAAATGGCATGTTGAATGTAATGGGTTAGTTAGTAAACAATCGCTTTAAAATTTTTTGTAGGTTTTAAACATTAGGATTAACTTGTCACATCAATTTTTATATTCCAATGCCATAGATAGGTTTTTGAAGACCGTTAAAAATATCAAATTTTTGTTATGACAACGTCGATTAAGGGCGACGAATAAGTAATTGAATTATGGACAAACCAACTCAAGTCCTCAATTTAACATGCATCGAAATCGCCAAGTGATTGTGGGCCAATATTTATTTTTTTTTTGGAAAAAGTGGACGTTCGACGCAAAAATGGCAACCGTTCGTCGTTCTTATTTTACTGAAGCGGAACTTGAAAAGTGTAATAATTATTTCTCTATGCACTATGCATTACAGTAATTGCTGTGTTAAATACGCGAGTTGGTAATCATTTTTGTTCACTGAGTAGCCGCCTTAGCGTGCAACGGTCACATATAACACTAGACTAGATCACACCTCAATGTCAGACCATTCTGGTTTTGTCTTAAACTCAAATATTTTCACAATTTCTGTTGCCTGTGTAATAACGAACACACGAAAGTATGTCTTGTTCGTTGACCGAAGGCTTTTTTTCACAACCAATACAGCGCACTTTTGTCGGAGAAATGATCTCTCGGTCAGGAATGGCAAATGCTGACTAACGGAATTATTTGGTTTCTCTGCCATAGACCAACCAAATTTTGAAAAGAAAGGAAAAGTATAAATACCCACCTATGCTAAAAAAGGCAACCCCATTCTTCGTCAAGGGGCACACAACCTGTATAGTCATACTCACTCACACACATACACACAACACACATGTCATAGTGTTCATATTTATACTCGTAGATTCAACAAGTCACCATCAACTGCTTGTCGCATACACAAAAAATCAACTCAAACATCTCAAGCAATGCCACACATAATGGCTTCCGTTGGTATCTCATGGCAGGAACACACAGACACTACGCCAAGGACATTAGAGTGGCAACCTGTTACACAAAACATGAGCGTCCGGCATAGGGGTATTCCCAATCCCTCTACATACCAGCATCTAATTGGTGGATGTTCGTATCCCAAAGAGCATAAGGTCTGATACCACCCCCACGTACAGTCTGTCTGCAAATGTATTCCCGTGGAATCTATTAACAAATATTTAATACAAAATGACACGAGTGAACATCGACATCAATATAGTGTCTCAATAGACACCAGTTGTTTAGTTCTACATGCGTACATATATAGAACGTTTATGATTTGAACCCTTACAGCTGTGGGTTTCTAACATTTACAAAAGAGTTTCATTAAAAACATCTGACAAAAGCAAAATCAGAAAAGACTGTCACAGCAAAGGGTGTCACGAGGTATAGCCTAAATCAACGGGGATAACCGTTAGATCTGGTTACCGATTTATGAAAGACAACCAAAGGCCATAGAACAATGAGTTTCTAAAAAAATATTTCAAATAAAAGCATTTTTAATTGTCCAATACGTATTTACACATAAAACTATATTCTGTTCATTTTTGTGGTAAAGAATGGTTGTTAAACTATAAAATAGATTTTTTTCAATCTTTCAAACACTAATGTACACATTGTTGGTTGAAAGAAATCTCATATTAATCTGAACTCAAACACTCAGTGGGGGTCGAGAGAACAGTTCAAAGACTACTACTATTTCTACTCTTCCTCGGGATTGAAAAGGTTCGTTAATTAATGTACTATAAAATTTTTACTCTCGATAAATAGAGCTATTTCAAATCATTCAAAGCCGCCACTCGACTCTACGAAATATGAAACAGCCGTGTTCTCATCAAGCACATCAATCCTTACCTCTCCTCCCCTTCTATTCAACTAATTGGGTTATTTTTTTATCCATGATTTTTCTGTTATTATTTTTTTATTTATTTATTTATTTTTTTTTTTTTTGAAGTTATCTGTCCACACTTGGATGCACAGACGATTCATTGCATTCGAGAAAATTAAAAGAAATGTCTGTGTAGTCGATTTAAAGGTGTTTATGTGCTACCTGGTCCACCCTAACCAATGGCAAATCAGTTGAGGCGTGAAGCTCTGCCCACACAGCAGCATCATTTTATAGGCCACATAGGAGAACCCTGTAAGGTGCTGCAGAAAATTATGAGATGTGTCAGTGGTTTGTTTGCTTGCCTGCCTGTTCACAGGTCAAGCGGTGCACAGTTCGATGTTATCGTCATTGCCATTGTGATGTGTCCTACTAAAGTGTTTTTTATTATTAAATTATTTAGAGTGTGTGTGTGTGTGCGTGAGTTTGTGTATATGAGCGGTATATAAATAGCTGTGATATATAAAGCCTTTTGTGAAGTGTGCAGAGGGCAGCAGAGGTGGCGCGTGCCAGCCACCTCTGTGTTTCTTCATTAAAATCGTGTTTCGGGTGAAATGAAAAAGAATTTACTTCCGACTGGTGAGTATCACTGTCGGTAACGAGGACGGTGGGAGTGCGGTGCTTTTGTTTTAATATGTTTTCGTTGCACTTAAAAGCTAACGTTAATAAGGTGACCGTTATAAATAGAATCGGGTGGAATGGAGTGGTATGACGGTGTGGGGGCGGGGCAATCATTTCATAGTGTGCGCGAACTATGTATGTTTGTGAGCTAGCCAGCCAGCCAACCAACCCCAAATGTCGGTCGAATATTCCTTTCAAGGCTAACAAGCCAAGCTGACCCATTCGAGAAGAGAATTCAAGTAATCAATAATTGATTTATAAGGCAAATTATGATACTCACCGTCATCATCCTCCTGAGACATGACACTATCATCGACAGATCCACGGTCGTTATCTCGATTGAAAGCCGATTGTCGGCGTGTTTCCTGCAGTTTTGTGAAGTACTCGACGGCAAAGTCGACCACATCGCCAGGCTGTTCCAACAGATAGGCTATGGAGAATTCCAATAGAACTTCACGCAGTGCATCTGGTACCTGGATGCGTTGCTTTTGCTCGTTTGACATTTTTAAAGTCCGTTGTCTGAAATGAGAATTTAGTAAAAGAGAACAACGATAGTTGTAATATAAATTACATTTTTCTTCAAAATCTGTAGGATAAGAAGTAAGCTGTTAGTTGCTACTAATGGCTGCTAATTCCCCCGTCAATTTCCGGAATCAGTTTTTCGCACAGTTAATAGTTAATTATGTTTGCCGGAGGTCCTTGGATATTACGACTAAACATTTTGACTCTTTTTGGATTTTTTTCAAAACAATATATATCATTATCCTTTTGTACAATCTGGACAGTTAAGTACCATAATCGATGACTCTGTTTCAGATTCTGCAAGAATCTACTTGTTTAGGAATTTTTGTTTAGGAAGTTTTTAAAGTTTTTTTCCTACGGTTACTTAAAAATGTTATTTACTTTCTATTCGTATTTTACGTTTATGTATTGCATACGAGGATGTAGTCGAGTTCTGGGTACCACCCAATTTCTAAAGGACATTTTTAATCCGACTATATATAGAAACTGGAATTTCAGTATTTACCTAGAAAATTCCCAAACATTGTGACTTGTTATCCACAGGGACCCAAAATATCAAAGGGTTTGTACTTATTAAGGTGCTTCAGGTGAAATGAAACTATGGAACAAGCAAAACGGAACATTAGGTACAATGCATTTCCATTATAAATCCATTTAAAAGGTTCTGACTTTGTTTGGACAGACGAACACAATTTCTTTTGTTCAACAGAATTCAACACTATCGACGTCATGATATGTTAAGGTATGACCCTGATCCTGACAATGTGTTTCCACACAAAAAGATTTGTTTGAAAATAAAACTATTGAATCTTGGCAGTTGATGTGACACAAGCTTATGTACTCCGTCCAAGCCAGACCACCTTGGCCCATACAAATGCACCAATGAGGTTGTTGATACCTGTGTTAGTTAAAATGTTTACATTTTTGGTTCGTAGCTATTTTTGTTTTAATTTCAATGAGCCAAAAGTGAATTGAACGATTGATTCACATAGTTTTCTATTAATGTTTGTCCGTTTTGTTACATATTCTTCAAAATGCGACCAATAGGCACTCGCTCGAACAATTCCGATAAACCATTGGGACATTCGGTCAGGAAAATGTTTTTGCGATGACAGTCTTTAATGACTTTATTACTAAACTTCAGACTAAACCAAGGACAGACTCCAGACAAAAAAAAATGGTTTATGATTTGCCACCACTGTCCGAGAAACTCCAAATAACTTTCCGGAATCTATACAAGCCATTGGCTAGTAGAATTCCATGACAATTTTGCTGCTATCCATATTGGGAAGGATAATTCGGTTTTCTGTTCGCGCCAAAATGCCATTATTTTCGTAGTCGGAAAATCAGATTAAAACCTTTCAGACCTCATAATACTTTCAGACTTGGGCAGCTCCATTTAACTCAGCAGTCACATCGACAAAACATAATAAATCTCCAAATACTGAGCAAACACGATCACACAAACACACACCGACAACTGTAAGCAATAGCAGATGTTGGTCATGAAAAGTGACCTTCAATGTTTGGACGCAGTTCTCGTTGTTGCTGTTTTTTGTTGTTGTTACTTGAGAAGGTCTGTTACGTTTGTGACAGACTGTGCATACAGTCAGGGGCCAACTTGCCGATACGAAATATAAAGCCCAATCATAAATATGTGTGTCTGTGTTACCCCATATTTTGTAACAATTGTCTGAAATTTTTACTAGAAGTTGTCTTTTTTACCCAGAAGTAGAGGAATATTGACAGCTCCGAGCTGAGACTGTACTAAATGTTTCATGGTGAGCTGCTTCTCCTTGTGGTTACTCTTTTACAGCATACTAAATGTTTTTCGCATTAAATCTGGCATTACATACCAGGGAGAATAACAATAACTAAACGAAATATATTTATATATTAATAGGTACCACTTCTTATTTGGCGTAATCGTACATTTGTTCCTGACTGTATTTTCTCAGGGACACGTCCAAGCATACATGCACACATGTACATATGCATGTGCTTTCGGAGCAGCAGTTGGGGGCATATAAAGCGTAGCAAAAATAACGTCAACAACGCAACACGAAGCAAAGCAGAAAAAAACATTTATTGAAGCAACATCCATTCATCACTCCAAACCCCCTTCAATCGCCCCTAATGTGATGTAACTTGTTTTCGTCGGCATACTGATTACCAGCAAAGCAAAACAAGTGGAGTTTTTTGTTCGCAGAACTACGGCGATCATCGTTATTGGAGACATTTCTTTTTGGTGACGTCTTATAAGGTTGCAGTGCTTTTAAGTGGAAAGCGATAAAGTAGATCACAAAATGTCCATAGACACTTAATTCAAATTCGACATTGCGATATGCGACATACATTTTGATTGATTCTACTAATATTTTCGGTTTAAAATGGAACACGAGGCTGATATTTTTAAAGGTTGAAAACTTCATTATTGTGGGAAGTATCAAAACTTAGCCCGGCCTGACTTGACGCCTGTTTTGCTTGTATTGCTAGCTTAATTTACCCACTACGGCAAAAGATGTGACCAAACACCAAATTTAATGTATCCAACCAGTGCAAAGTCTTAGAGCACTCATCATTCAGCTACTTTTAAATGAACTTGTTTCAAAATAGGCTATACTTTTAAATGAAAATAGACTGATATAAAGTGAATTGCATATTGCTATAAATAGTACAAATCCCTTTTAACTAAGTACGTACGTACAATTCGCCGATAAAGAATACTTGCTCTTTCAAAATGAATGTTTGATATTATTTTATAATGATATTGTATTTTCAACACTTGTGCGCATACAGTTTCATACTAAAGAAAAAAATAATTCTAGATATTTGCACAAGTGCTAAATTAAGTTCGCTAAAATTACTGCAATAGATCTAAAATGTCTGAATGCTAATGGCCGACACATATTTGCGGCATTGGTAATCTAATGGGGTTTCCAATATACGTCACGTGCTTTGGCAATTCAATCGCCGATGTCACCTGAGAAACCTGCAAAACTTAGCTTTAGCTCTCTACACAAACCCAGAAAGGTAATAAATTCTGCACCATCATCAAATAGAATCGTAACCAATTCGTTTCTCAATTTTTGAAATAAGTCTAAAATAGTTGTAAAAAAAATAATCGCCTCCTTTTGCAAATAAAAATGCAATGTGCTATTAAAATGTATACTCATTGTAAATATTGGCATTACCCCACACGTACCATTTGGTTCGGTCTAAAAATGCAAGTCGTACAAGTGTCGATGCTGCTCAATTGAAAACAAAACCATTTTACATTTGCTTAGCTTATGAAACAAAATGTTTAATTTTAATACATTCATTGGAGTTAAGAAAATCTAAGAAACAAAAACTTTCCGAAACGATGAGTCAAATAAGAAAGCTTAGAACAATCTAGGAATTTGGCTGTCTACCGATTTCTGTATCTTTTCTTGAGCTTAAACACAAAAAGGTGAGATTTTTTGAGCGCCGTTTAAACAGAAAAAATGGATCCAGAATATTCACAATATTTGCTACATGCATGGAACTTTCTACTAGGTTAAAGCGAAAAAAGTAATATTTAACACGTTAGTGACCGTCCAAGCTGCATCGAAATTATAAATTTAAGTCTAATCTAATCTCACCCATTTGGCTGATGACGAGTTCCAAACATACTTTCGTTCATCCATATCTAAGGAAGTACCACAAAATATATATTTGGCAATAAAAGAACATAAAAATAAAAATTGTATTCGTGTGATTTACAACTGAAAATCCAGCGTCGCTGAAAATATCTTTCCCCTTCATTGTCTGGTTTGACACACCATGAACCTAGACACTGTAACGTACGTTTTTACTTTATACCATGTCCGTGTTTTCTTATTTTTTATTTATTAGCCAACGCGGCGATCAGGGAGTTTAGGCTTTGAAACTGTGCTGCCCTTACACATTACGTGGTAAGGTGAACGTATTTTTTTAAATTTTATAGAAATAACTCATAATTTTTTGGGGATATATACCCACCAACATATTTTTTTAATGACAAATGATCTCCCCATTATTATTTTTTACCTTTGACGGTCATATATGTATATTTGTTTTTTTATTCATAACGGGATAAAATGTCTTGAAACGGAGATTTCAATTGTCAAGTTAAAAGTAGTAGTAGATACCTTTTGTTGCATACATGTGAAAATATACGATTACATGCAACCCGGATACAACCCTGAATTTTTAAAATGTAACGAAGTTGAAGATACGAAGCCAACCTGACAAGGCGTACTAGTTTAAGCTCGTATAATTGATTTTAATAAACGTTTGTGAATTCTTAATTTAATATAAAAACGGTCGTTGTATTTCATTTGAGTATACGGAAACCAACAGACTTCAATCGATCACTTGACATTTTTCTCAGAAGTGGGATACGACAAGTCTTATTGGAAGAAGCGTCTACCAACAAGAAATATGGAGAATTTGCACAAATGCACGGTTAAGCAGTTGCAAGCGAAATGCAGAGAAATTGGTGTTTCTCAAAGTGGTAACAAAAAGCAATTGATCGAACGACTTGAAGTCAACAACGAAAGCGAGCTGCACGGATTCGCATCTCCTCATGATATGCAGGAGCGAATTTCGCATTTGGAAGATATGGTAACTGAATTGCGTTCATCTATGGAGCAACGTGGACAATCAGAATTTGAGCCGAACAACGCATCATCCCCTTTGAACACGTTTTCGACACCGGATGGTAATATGTCCCTGCAAGGCACACGGCCTAGCTTGCCAAACGTGGCAAACGTTGTGACAATATTACCGGAATCACGTTCGATTCCATCGTATGTTCAAACGAATACTTCTTTTGGTGCATTTCAGACTACGTCAACAATTCCAACGGTCCACACGTGTGCTTCTGCTGGTTTACCAACGTTTACACCTTCATTGCACGGACATGCTCAACTTCCACGAAATACAACGCAAAATGTAGCGACGTCATGCTACAACGTACCAACACATATAACGAC